CTGCAGTCTAAAGCAGTTTAAAATGAACAATACATGGAGGGAGAGGGATAGCAAATTGTCAAGTGCGAATTTTACAATAATGACGTGTGTAGCGTAAGTGGTTGTTTCAGAAAGGTTATAGAAAGTATTTTACATGGTCTCTATACTAAAAGCGCTGTTTAAACCGATCCTTTTATTGTCATTTTTTTTAAATTGTATTATAGCTTATTAAAGCTATGTTTATAATCATTCTAGTTGTGTATTGTGAACTAGTCAAAGACTAAGGTTTCTGTGTAGGAGTCAGTAAATATAAACGTTTAAATGATTTCATTATTTTTAAATACGGACTTAGCAGCAAGTAAAAATTATATGTTATTAAATGTCACATAGCAGTTTTAAAAATACTGCCCACCCAATCTTCGCCGCTGCCGCTAAAATTATAGCTAAAATTGTAGCTAAATGTTTCATAATCATTTTAAAATACTGACAACAAAAATCTTCACAGCAAAATTTATAGTTAAATGTTTCATAATCATTTTAAATACTGCCCACACAATCATCGCCGCTAAAAGATGATTGTTAAATGTTACATATTAGTTTTAAAGATACTGCCCACCCAATGTTGTGCCTCGTCAAAAGTTGCGCGGCTCCACAACAGTTGTAAACAGGCGCGCAGTAGTTTTGTAACACGCATTGAAAATATATTTTGCTTTCAAGCTATTGCTACTTAGAAGGGGGAGGAGGGGTGGTGTGTTCAACCCTGAATGAAACAAACAGTAGCATGACAAATAAACACAGGCCTAGCGACACTTTACCCAATGAGATAGGTATAAAAAATAGGACCAGGAAGTTGATAAGCAATGAGATTCAAGATTTGTGGATTTTTTGTATTTGTTTCGGTTTCTTTTACTTAGAAAAGAATTAAGAATCTTCTAATGACCTCAAGAGTGAAGAGTTGTAAGTTATTTGCAGCATGCGTGAGCCGATTTTAAACTTCTTTGTTTAATTTAGGTTAGTCGTGACCGTGACACACCCCCCCCCCCCCCCCCCCCCCGCTTTCACAGTAAAAAATCTAGCAGGTTTCGCTAATAACCGTACTACGATTTTTATCTTTTCCCGTTCGTGCCCACGACAAATAGAGCCGATGAAGTAGAGTTCATCTGATGCAATTATCTCGGCATAGTGTGGTCAGCAGAATGCTCAGCCCCCTTAGTTTTCCTAACCTAAGTCAGGTACCCGTCAGAGCTGGGTGGACTCGGGGAAGTCCTGCAGACTCGAACCCGTTATCCAAGCTCGAGACTTTCGGGTTAGCACTATATAACAGTCGTAATTTAATTCAGCTTCCAAACAATGCTTAGGAACAGAATATAAAACGTGACATTAAAGACGACACATGGGATTCCCGTTAATATGAAAATTCTTCTAATATAATTTCCATGTCTACATATCATCAACTAAACACAAATCACATCCTGATGGCATAAAGTAACAAGGACCCCCCCCCCCCCCTCCGACTCGCACACCCACAAAACGACCTCTTTAAACATCTATTTCTATCCGAATCTGCGTAGAAGCTTCGCGGGCTAAAGCGCGTCATTTGGGGGTCCAAGATGGCGCCGGCTAACACGCAATACTTGCATTCACAACAACAAAGTGGACGTGTTAATTTGTTTTAATAGCAACGTCAATACAACCGACGTCAAATCGATGTTTACAATACATGGGTGAGCAGGGGGGGTCGAGATTTGCGTGATAGAAATGATGCAGAGAGAAGCGGCTTTGAATTAGACCAGTTTACATTTAGAGGACGGGGGGTGTCTAACGTAATGGGCTATTTTTAAGATTCTTACAACGGCAGCTGTTGTTTGGGTCACTTGCTGGTCACGACCGGTTGAAAATTAGTCAGAGAGGGCTGACCTTTGTTTACTTACTTTGGGGATTTGACATAAGATGCTTGACCCGCAGGTCAACTTGAGAGTAGGATATAAATAGATCAGTGGATCTCAAGCTAAAAAAAAATGAGACGATAGGCGCTCATATAACAAGGCCCTTTTTAGATATATAACCGTTTATCGCTACATGTAAGATTATGTAAGAACGGCGTTATACCGTTCCAATGCTATTGTTGCTATCCCAACATTCACCAGCAAACAAACATAACCCGGTATTTGTTTTTTAGAAGAATAACAACTAACTACGATTTAAAGAAAGGGGACGCCACATCGTATATTATTTAATGGGCTAATTATTTAATCAAATACCAGACATGATTGCTGTAGTTATTAATTACGCATGACATTATGCTAATAATCTCAGAAACACGGCTATCAACTATTTTTGGCAAAATAATGCTTGGATTTGCAGTGATCAGCTTAGGAACTGGAGTACTGAAGGAAAATGGAGGCATTTTTATATGTCGGCATCATATTCAGGGACTGGTTATCTTGTGTCCCTGTTCGGCTAATTATAATAATTAAGATACCAGGAACTGATCTAATGAATAGTGTGCATTAAAGACTAAACAATATGCTATGAATAGTATTAGCAACTTTTAAGCTTAGTTTAAATATTTGAAAAACAGGAAATTTAACTACGTTTTATTACGTCTTATACGAAACCTAAAATGGAGTTAACTCTATTCCTATTGACAAAACGTAAAAATAATAGGGTGACAATATTTAAATAATATTCCCTCTGCAACAGACAGCTGTCAAATCAACTAATCTCCATATTTATAAACATTTTTTTTCCTCACTCAGTACTGATGTGAAGATAGGAAAGTAACAAAACTGTTTAAACTCTAACCCCTCCTTTCCCACACTCATTTACATAATTCATTGATAACATTCAGCTGCTGGGTACTTTGTGCATAAGTTAAATTTTGAATTGAATCACTGGTAGGCTTAATAATAATTTCGATCTTAATCTAAACCCTGTCACTTAGAATTAACCAAAACAAAACAGTTGGATATAAGGCCTAGCAACATTTATTTCAGTGTTTTGCCAATGAAAACGTTGTGAACTATTCATGATAACAAGAAGAAAAACTAAATGAGAATACTTCACTTTGATCCAAGTACAAGTACATCTTAAGACAACCATTTTCATTCATCTGATATAGATCTATGTGGCAGACAAAACATGAACCTTATGATGATCAGACTATAAGAAGTAATACAATAACAACAAAATGTGTACTGTTTGACATAGGCAAGTCTAGGAGATGACTGGGAAGGGGGGGGGGGGTGTATTGGAAAAAAAAAAAGTCCCCCAAAAAGTAATTATTTTATTGCAATTATTATGATATTTTATTAAAATTTTGCCCATACGCCCCTGATGTTTTTAAAGAAATGTGTATATACTTTGGTGGTTCTCAAGAGTAGTATTGAAAGTCAACTTTCCTAAATAGATATATATGTATGTATGTTTAGCTAGCCCCCTCCTCCAAACTAGAAGGCCATATTAGCTCATGCATGAGACAATGAGACATTGCATGGCATAATCTTTTGCTACCAGTGCCCAAGACACATGGGGCAGATGAAGTAGAGTATATCAGTTTCAACAAACTCTGCATATAATGGGCAGTGTTGCCCTAGTTCTCCCTAGTCGTGGGTCAGGTACCCATCAGTCCTGTGTGGACTAAGGGATGGCCAGCACACTCGAGTACTGGAGTTGAAATTGAGACTTTTGGTGTAGCAGTTGTGCGCTCTACCATGTGACCACACCATCACATTTTTTTATTTGAGACACACACACTTGCCTTAATGGATTTCTGTACGGTTAAATTGATGGAGCAGAACAATCCAATTAATGTTTTCAACTTACTAGCATTGAGACTGTCATGTATACATCTACAGCTACCACAACAATAGTCATGTACATTGGTAGAGGGCCTAATCCTTTGTAGCCCTCATTTAAATTACTATTTTAGTCCGAAATGATGGGGGTGGAGATTTTTTTTTAATACTTGAATTTGAAAGATAAAACAAACAAATGAAACACAAAAGCTAAGACTTAAAATTTTAGTCTTTTTTTCCTTAACCTATTTTGGCAGCCATCCCTAATCAAATAATAAATTATTTGGTATCTATGTCTTTCATTGTCAAATCTTGTCAGAAATACAATAAAAAGGGGTTTTAGCATAGAATACATACTTGGTGTATTTGTTATACCCTTGTCTGATAATCACAATAACAGAATCTACTTAAAATAAGGGGTTGTTGGGTTACTGGTAGTTACCTAAATACACATTTGACTTGCTAATGTCAATGAAACCCTATCCCTACCCTTAGTCTGACCCATCCGCATAACACTAATTTCTAACCATAAAACTGGACATGAGATTAAAATACTACTAACAACCTAACACACCTGTGTTAGGAGTTTATTATCGGACATCAGTATACCCAACTATCCAAAAACTAAATTGAGCATTACATAATGGTTATTAATATACACAACAAGGAACTACCATTATTCTAGTTATACTATAGGCCTACATTTTTAAAATCACATTATCTGTTAAATACCTTTATCAAAACCAAAATATCTACATGTTTTTATTTCACAGTAGATGAACTTTATAAGCCACAATCTAATAATATCAACAGCAAACAAGGCCAAGGTTATAGCTAGTTGTTTTGTTCTCTTTCCAAATTCATCATAACCGAAGAAAGGGTAGGCCAAAATAGGTTCATCCATAGCAGAAATTAGGAAAAAATAATTTTAAACAAAAAACCTGGTGTAGTAGACAAATGCAAATCTAAATCATTTATTTAGGCCTGGGGTTTAGTTTAAAATAGACTTCAAGAATTTTCTAAAGGCTATTATAAATCATTTGAGTATTTTGAGCATAAATATTAGAACTGTTAGCCTAGTACTAGATCTATATAATATATACTGCCTATGCCTATAGGGCCTGATAATCATATTATTATTAGGATTAGGTCTGGCTTTCTATTCACTTAAAGTTTTAGAGACCTAGTCTAGATCTATCCCATTCTCAGTAACTGAGCGCCTACCTTAGGTGGAGAATAGAATTCCATTTGATATCCACTTTGATTTTTTAACAAAACAAGTCTCGTTTTCTCCCATCTGGACTTTCCCTTAGCATCTTCCCCGTTTAAAACATTTACAATTCCCTCCTTTTGAATATCTTGGTTTAAAGTTGAGACTCGGTGTTTGTTATCTTTTTTGTTTTTGTGTTTTGATCTTGGGTGTGGGGAAGGTGGTTCGGGTCCTTCTTCCGTACCCTGTTTAAAAAGTTTTGATTTGCGAATGCTTTTAAAAGAAAACCGCCTTAAAATGCCTTTATTTGGTTTGGTTGAAGGGCTTATGCCTCTGTCTGGGCTACTGTCTCTTTCGTAATCATCTGCGTGAGTATGGTGTATGTGGTCACTGCCGTTTTGTGGGACAACACCTGTCCGAGAAGTCGTTTCGGCCGCACTTGCTCCGTGCGCTTCGACCACTGAATTCACTTCCGTGTGGTTATTTGAGCTATGGGACGATGACCGTCGAAGCTCATAATCAAAATAACGAAGAAAAAATTCTGTAAATTTCTTAGCATAATCATAAGGGTCCCTTGTTCGTCCTATTGCTGGATTACTCCTATCGTAAGCAAGGAAATTATGCACAAAGTTTTGAGCCGAATTCGAAGCCTGTTTTTCACAAAAATCCACTGTCATGCTTTCGCTTTCGCCGTCACTGTCCACTCCAGCCATTGAAAGTAAAAATAATGGATTCTAAAATCTGGCACATATCCTTAGAAAAACAAATTACCATTTTCTAGACATCTTGATCGCCCGAAAATGCCTAAAATAAACAAATTTTATCCACGGCCAAAAACTACTGTCAACGTTGTTTACAACAAACTCGATGTGAACCCCTTTCCGTGCACTACAACTTATGACGTGCAGCATTCATAAGAGGCGAATTCCACGCATGCGCGAAAGGTCGTTGTTATTGTACGCCATTCATGAATATTAAAATTAATTATATAAATAACTCTAGACCGTGAAGACTACACACGCGCTGATTTGTTTTTTATTCATTAGATTATGTCATAAGCCTATCCTTGATTAAATATTTTTACCTTAACCTAGTACTAGACACCAGACAACATGTTTACATTCTGCAATATTTATTATTAGCCACTTTATGGCGTATGTCCGGTATCAGCGTTGTTTATACCATGAAATAATTGGAAAAAAAGCAATGTAGCTTGTAATTTATTTGTTTCATATTTTAGATAGTCTAATGAATGTAGTTTGATAGATTTAATTATACAATTGATAGACCCAGAAGTAAAAAAATATAATAACATTTTTGTAGTAAATAAAGAAGTTTCGATGTCATGATTTAGATCTATATAGGATTGTTCACAGTTTTACCAATATTAAACGAATAATGGTGACGTTAGGATTTCTGCTGTTTTTTTATTGTGTGAGATACTATTGTGTAGTGTTATGTGGGCCTAGGTATAATTTAACACAACCTTGGGTTTCCTTTTGTGTGTGTGTGTGTGCCAATTTTATTTCCATTTACAGTTGTCGGATGGATAGTTTGACACAACGGGTCTTGCTAGTTGCTTTTTTTTTAAAATGCTAGCATAAAATAAAGCTTTACTAGATCTACTGCAGGTTGTTTTTCTTTTAAATTGTGTAATTTTAGTGGGGTTTTTTTTTTTAATTACACTTTTTGTAGAAGGCCTACCAGTATCAAATTGTTTTCTCGTTTGGGAGGGAGTGCACGATTCCTAGAAATATTAAGATATAGCAAACATGGTGGGCTTAGGGGGGGGGGGGTCGTCCATAAATGACGTCACACTCGTAGGGGGAGGGGGGTCCGTAATTTTGTGACGGTGTGTGATAAGAGATGGTGTGACGGCCAACTTTTGCATTTTAAAAAGCAATGTTAGAAAACGAATTTTAGGCGTTATTTCGCGTTTTAGAGAGAAGGGTGGGGGGTTAAAAATCGTCAAATAATCGTGACGTCATTTATGGATGACCCCCTTCAAGGGATGTAAACGAATTAATGTAGGGGTGGGTGGGGGTGTTCAGAGATGCCCAAGTTATTTATCGTTGTGTGTGGGGGGGGGGTGCACGATCTTTAACTTCTTATAAACAAGTAATCTGCAACTACTAGGCCTTTATAGGCTTTTATACTTTTACTGAAATGTAGATGGGCATGGCAGAGCCGGCGTTAGGGGGTGGCGAACGGGGCGGTGGCCATAGGCCCCGCGCTTGAAGGGGCCCCGCGCTTGAGCAATGCCATTGTTATCTGAATTAGTTCGTAAACTGAATTCAATTGGGAAAAACTAAATGGTCGACTGCCGACGTTGTTGATTGTTATAACTGAGGCCACGGTTGATGTTAGTAAGTTATCACCCACTGAACTGGGACAGGCCGTAATTCTATACAAAAAAACAGTGTCACATACCTCCCCTTTGTGTAGGGTACGGTCGGCTGGCATTTGACCTGAGCTGACTGGAGATGGCGGTCGAGAATTAGCCCACGACGTAAAGAGATACCCTATTGTATGCGGACCCATGAAGACATCCTTTTAGTGAGCAGACGGGATGTCTGTAGTAGACAGTTAGTGACCTGATGAACTCTAGTCCTGACTTTCTTGTTGTAGATGTCGTATAGTGTCGTATATGTACAGTGTTTCTTCCAGACATTTTTCTCCGGGGGGGGGGGGGGCACTTGAAATTTTCGGGGGGGGGGGGGGTGGCGGTAGACTTGTTTCGGGGGGGGGGGGGGCGGACACTGTTAAAAGTATATATTTTCTATAATCTATATGAATTATATAAATTTCATTTCGTTTTCGGGGGGGGGGGGTCTTGCCCCCCCCCCCCCCCCCCCCCCGCAGAGATGCCTGGAAGAAACTCTATATGTAGGCCTACTTGTCTTGGTATAACAAAATTAACATTCAGTTGCGTGCAGAGGGGTGGGAGGAGGGCGACGAGGGGGGGGGGGGGGGCCTTAGGATCTATATCATGCGGCATTAAACAGAGTGATTTATTATTATTTTTTGGAAGAAAGTTAAAACTGTTGTTATGTTGTGTCACCTTAAAGATTCACCCGTTCAATAATTAAGACAATAATGATTTTGGTTTTAAAATATTGTATGAATTCTAAACAAATTTTGAAGTCTATAGGCCTACTGTTTTGATACATCAGGCCGAGTTCGCTGTATCGTAAACTATATTTTCCAAATTTTTCGGCACGTGATTAAATATTCTTAAGTGATTTGGTATGAATTACATAACTGTCAAAAGTGATTTAATATCTTAGCAAAGGAAAAAAACTACGAACATTGGGTTAATACATGGGAGAGATAAAATCTGTTATTATAGTGGAAAGTTTGACATTAACTTATAAAATCCAAAACATTTGTGTTATTAAGTGTACATCACATTATATAGGCCTTTATATATATATATATATATATATATATATATATATATATATATATATATATATATATATATATATATATAATGGAAAGGCCCCGCGCGGATGGTTGGCCCTAGGCCCCGCGTATTCCTAACGCCGGCTCTGGGCATGGTAATGGTAATGAAAACTGAGATACGTATTTTAAAATATTGAGATGTCAATGATTAAGTATGTCTACAAATATAACTATATTCAATATGTTTTGGGGTGTATTGGACTTCTATCCTGCAGCCTATACTGTTCATTACAATACGCAATGATTTGACCTTTTTTGGCCCTCAATGGCATATTTAAATGGTGTAGGTATATTAGAATATTCTTACCGACTGTCCTATTTAAATGTGATTATCTTCACTTCTTTTAGTGAAATGCGAAACCAGTAAACAGACTTTCTTGTTCGCAGAGCCGTTAATTGTTTACAGGTCACCAAAATATCGATCGAAAGAAAACAAAAAAACAAAACAAAAGTGGTAAATGCGCAGAAAATTGTGTTGATTCGTGTTTAGCACAACACAGATTAAATTAGTATTCTTATGATCATTGGAAACTTCAAAGGATTATAATTAATCAGTATAGCCATACCGTTTAGAAAACATGGTTTACGTGTAGTTTTTGTTTTGGTGTGTCGTCTCTATTGAAAACGAGTAGCAAGTAGCATAAACAAATGTTGACGCGTTCAGTGATTTAGCTTCCGACAAGTTTTAAATCGATTTACCTCCCCTTCCCTTTCCCCAACGCAATACAGCGTCACAAAAAGCCAATTGGACTCACACTTCATCTTATATTAACATCCACTCAAAAATACAATTTTGTTTTTTATTTTTATTTCTCAAAAAATTTTTCTAAACTCGGTCAACGTTAAGTATGTCAACCAATTGTTATTACAATTCACTTTGTAAAAATTCAGTTTTTTAAGATTTTCTTAAAACGCTAAGTTGTGTCGTCACACTTTCCTACCCCCCCCCCCCCAATCCCCCAAACTTTCATTTCAGTAGTGTGACATCGTCAGTAGCGTAGCGAGGGGGGGGGACATATGTCCCCGGGCGCCGACCTTAGGGGGCGCCAAAATAGGTTGGAAAAATAAATTAAAAGGTTGAGGGGGGTGCAAATCGCAAGTTTGAGGGGGGGGGGGCAAATCGAAATCTCGAGAGGGGGGTGCAAATCGAAAGTTTGAGGGGGGTGCAAATCGAAATCTCGAGGAGGGGGGGGTGCAAATCGAAAAGTTTGTTCCCGGGCGCCGGGAAGGGTCGCTACGCCTCTGGGCATCGTTTATGGACGACCCCCTTTAAACAAAGCAGACCTTTAATCGAAATAGAAGTAATTTAATTGATTGGTTTACAACAATAATAAAATGTATTATCTTAAACTTTAAACAGCAGATATTTTAATCAGTAATTCTTCCAGACTTTTTTCTCCGGGGGGAGGGGGGGGGGCAATCGATATTTACATATTTACGGGGTGACGGGTGCGCACAACATTTTCCGCGGGGGTGCGACACTAGTAAAAGTAGATGCTTTCTATATACATTCTATTTCGTTCGGGGGGGGGGGGGGGCGGGGCGGTAGACTTTCTTCGGGGTGGGGGGTGGGGGGGGGGGGGCTCTGCCGAAGAGATGCCTGGAAGAAACTCTGATTTTTAATACTAGGGAATGGGAGTAAACCGTTATAGCAAATTTACTTAAAATGTAGGCCTATTTCTCTTTCGAAATAGTGTTTTTCCTATCGCGTTTTTTTTCACTAGTTAGAACAAAGTATAAATCTAGAACTAAACTAGGTCTCGTGACCATTATTCGTATCGGCGGCATGAGTCTAGAGCACGAGTCTATATCACGAGCCAGATCAAGGTCAAGTGACTAGTCAAAACGTCGCATTAAAAATTAACAGTGATTTTACACGCGAAACAATTGCTAAATGACTATGCAGTTTGCAAACTGTGAAACTTTTAATATCTGTCCATCGCAGGGGCGTAGGCATTTTTTACGGAGGTGGGGGGTAGGGGGTTGGGGCGAGTACAAAAAAGACGTAGTCAGGGGTGGTGGCGTGGAAGGGTGCTGCTGTATCTTTTAAAAAATTTCTAAGAACTACGATTTTGTAGGAAATGGTCCTCGGGAGCAGTGATCTTTCAGCCCCCCCCCCCCTCCAAAAAAAGACCGTCTCTCCCCTCCCCAAGGACAAAATGGAATTTATATAGAAAATATATAGTTTTAGAGTGTCTTCCACCCCCACCCCTAAAAATGTATTCCCCCCCCCCCCCTCGGAGTAAAAAAAGTCTGAAAAAAACTCTATTAGGGGGGGGGGGGCAGTCACTTCCCGTGCTCCCCTCCTGCATATGCCTCTGCTCCATTAGAACCTCAAGTTCATCATCACCGTTATCTTCATCATGTGAAGCATAAGTATGACGCAACCATCGTTATTGTTTTTAGACTATTCCTCCAAGTTGGGTCCAAGATATTCCAGCTGCTTGCGCTTCACTGACTACTGATCATTTCCCAGTTTGATTTGACCTACATTCTTTTCTCTTTCCTTTCGGGTTCCAGTCTAATGCCTGTCTGGTGGTTGTGTTTGTTAATTTGCGCAAGGCGTGTCCGATCCATCCAGATTTGCGATTTTGTATTTCTGAGTTTTGCCGAGGTTGTTTTTTTTCTCTCTCCATAGTTCATCATCATTTCCATTTGAGTCATAGACATGGGGCCACCACAGAAAGCTCCCTCCACCTTTGTCGGTCATCGGCAATTTTCCTGGCAGCCTCCCATGATACTCCTGCCTCTGCCAGCTGCTTCCCCGCTATGCGCCTCCACGTCTACCTTGGCCTTCCCTGTTTTCTTTTTCCTGGAGGCGTCCAGTTTAGCGCCATTTTTTTTTATTTTTTTTTTTGCGATATCATCTGGATTCATTCTTAAGACATGCCCCATCCAGCGCCATCTTTTTAAAATTATTATTTCGGAAACTGCTTCCGTTTTCATTTCTCTAAGTTTTTTTCTCCATAGTCAGTCGTTAGTAATTTTCACAGACCATCTGATGTATAATATCCGCAACTCTCTCAAATATTTTTGGGGATATGTTTGTTTGTTTTCATGTGTGTATGTTTGTGTGTGTGGGGGGGGGGGGGGGCAAGATTCTGTTTAACAAAGGTCTACTGGAGGGTGAGTCTAAAGGTTTAATGTCAGATTCTTCTAAATTTTTCTTACCCGTCTTGTCTTAGTTACTCACATTTACCAGGAGCCCATATGAGCAGCGTTTCTTCCAGACTTTTTTCTCCGGGGGGAGCTTGAAATTTTCGGGGGGGGGGGGGGGCGGTAAACTTTCTTCGGGGTGGGGGTGGGGCGGACACTGTTAAAAGTATATATTTTCTATATAAATTATATAAATTTCATTTCGTTCGGGGGTGGCGGTAAAAAAATTTCGGGGGTTCGCCCCCCCCCCCCCCGAAGAGATGTCTGGAAGAAACTCTGCATATGAGACGGCGAGGCCCTTGATACAGCTCACGAATTTCAAGCGGAGAACCAGGGGTAAAACTATTGGAAGCAATTTATTTGAACGAATTGGCAATTGATTAAGCTTTTGTTGTTGTCATGTTTACAAACTTATATATAACGCATGCTCTTTAACTTTAAAAATGGTTATGTGAATAACAGCTAGCAAAGCATGAAAAATAGAAGTATAATGGCAATGGGAATTTCCATATATTTTTTACAGACCTAAATAGTATGAAGTTGGTAAAACACATTGACTCCGAACGGAATTAGAAAACAACAATTTTAAATTACAAGATATCATTTTTACCTTAAATAGAGTATGGAGCAAATAAACAGCACAAACTACTGCGCAAAGGACATTATTCAACAATAGTCCGCATCATTATTTCCCAGTATAGTCTAAAATTTGTATGCGTAAGTAGCTTGTAATAATAATAGTTAAATTGTAAACGATGAGTTCGGTCGGTACTGTATAATTATAAACATCGCGTGGATAATTACTTTGTGATTATTTCTATGCGAGGACAAAACAGACTTGAAAATCGACAACATAATCGAGTTTATAAGCTACAATTAAAATCTACGTCAAAAACATGTTGGTCGTACTCAAGGTGTTGAGTGGTTAGAATACCTCCCCCCCCCCCCTTACACACACGCTGACTCGGGGAACGAAGGAGTCCTGTCGGATAGATCAAGGCTGTTGACTTCAAAGGCCCGAGTTCGGACCCCTAGCAGATGAGGCTCGTTAGCTGGAGACAACATCAACACATAGTTTTTAATAGTAGAGAAACTCCATAATCAGACAACTCAGTGTTTCTTTCAGACTTTTTTCTCCGGAGGTGAACTTGAAATTTTCGGTGGGGGGGGGGGGGGGGACACGACGGGATGGCGCTGGTGCCCTCCTTCCCCCACCCCCGAAGAGATGCCTGGAAAAAAAACTCTGAAAGCTGCAACATGCCCTTGGGGATTGATTTTGGATGGACAAAGGCTATGCAAGCAAATCTAGGCAAAAAAACAAAACAAAAAACAGACTGAATTCTATATAAATTCTATTTCGTTCGGGGGGGGGGGGGGTTAGATGATCTCGGGGGGAGGGGGGTGAAGAGATGCCTGGAAGAAACTTTGGTAGTATTGGGGGAAAAGTGCAACCACGTTTCTCACTTTTTAAATTTTCTGTGCGTTTTTCCCTCATCCAGGAAAGAAACGAATTAAAATTTAAAGGACACTGACACAACTCGTTGATTTCTTAATTCTCTGCCTTCCCGCAGAAAAGTGAAATTTTTTTTTTTAGAAAAAAACTATAAAGAAGAAATAAAATCCGCGTAACGATGGTGGGTGACTAAAGCCAGTGTGGAATTTAAATACATTGTCATTGATTGTCAAAAAAAAGTCGTTGGCGCAATGTGATTAATGTGAAGTGACAGTGAAGTATGTTTTTTTCTATAAGACTAGTAGGCCAGGGGGTAATAGCCTACATACCTTACTACAGACAACAACAAACTTAGTAGGCCTATCTAGTTTATAGATCTAGACCTACTTAGTCGAACGGAAATCAAATCTTTCTACTATTGTTTCGCTGCTGGAGTAGGATTAGATCTAGATTAGACTATCTAGATTTTATATAGATCTATAGAGTAGGCCTACAATCAGAGGCGTAGCAAGAGGGGGGGTGCGGACTGCATAGGGTGCCACCATTTAGGGGGTTGACACCAAGGTAAAAAAAAAATAGCAAATTATATACAGAAAAAATGATAATTTCAGTTAATTAAATGATTAATTAGAGTGAATTAAATAGTATTTTAAGAGCAAAGTGGACAACCCGAAACGGTGGAAAATGAGGTGACACCATGACGTAAACCTGCTAATGATAGAGAAAACATGCAACATCCAGCTGTATTAATAACCGAATATAGATACAAATCGTTAGTATTATCTAACCACAGTTTAAAGCAATCGCAGTGGGGGGGGGGGGGGGGGGGGGGGGGGGAAGCTACATGAACTCAACGTTGCAATATATATGCCTGAGATAAAACGGTAATAACCTATATGTTTATCCATGTTTGGGGTGGGGGGGGGGGAAACAAATGAAAAAAATATTTGAATGGATATACACATGCGTATACACATACTTACAAGTGTATATATATATATATATATATATATATATATATATATATATATATATATATATATATATATATATATATATATATATATTTTCTTTTTCTTTTTTTACGGGGGGGGGGGGGAAGGGGTGACACCTAACCACCCCCCCCCCCCACCCCACCCGCACCGGTTGACACCCGACCTGGCTACGCCACTGCCTACAATATCTTGATTTTTTAAAGTTGTATTTTTTTTACGGTACAGGCCTACGTAGTATGAGTGATCTAATTTTTAATAGTAGGCTAGGCTTATTCTGAGAAATGTGGTCTTATTCGAATCTTATTATACGAGATCAATCACAAATTATGTAGGCTGCAGGTTATATTATAAAGCTATGGGCCATATACCTCTCGGATTGACAAGAAAACAATGTAATATGCAAATTTGAAACTTGTCGAGTGGAAAATAAAAAAATGCCTTTGTAATCGTCACACTATCATTTAACGACGGGTTAAATAATAACCATAATGGCAATGAACCTTTATTAGTTACTGAAGAAAGATGTTTTTGGAGTATAAGTATAGTATAAGCTACTGGACATTCTACACACAGAATAGATTTTTTTCACCGCTACTCAACCGGATCATGATCTCTTAGGCCCAATTTGAATAGTTTTGATTTAATTCTTCTATACTCATATACAATACGAAACTTCATTAAGTAGATAAAGCTACATTTTTATTGTGTTCTAGTTAAATGCTTTTAAAAAGAAAACTGATACAATTTGCTTGTTTTTAATTTAATTCGGGGTTGATATAATTTTGTTTCAGATTTTAGTTTATTAATGATTTGTGTTTTCTTGTTATTTTCATACTAACCGGAAATACAACGATTTATAACGTTTCCTGTTTTCCGCCATTATTTGTTTTTGTTTGAAACCGGCAAAAAGGCAGTTGACAAATCCATGTAATCACAACGTAATGTGCATTTAAAAATAAATCTCAATATACATCATTGAGTTAAATAAATTAAGATGTCGATTGGAGTACCTATTAAGGTGCTGCATGAGGCAGAAGGACACATAGTTACTTGTGAAACTTCAACCGGTGAAGTGTATAGAGGAAAACTGATTGAAGCAGAAGATAACATGAACTGTCAGATGGCAAATATCACAGTAACCTACAGAGATGGTAGAGTTGCTCAACTTGAAAATGTTTACATCAGAGGCAGCAAAATAAGATTTTTTGTGTTACCTGACATGTTAAAAAATGCCCCGATGTTCAAGAAAGTCCAAGGCAAAGGTGGCGGTGCTGGTCGAGGAAAGTCTGCTATCTTGAGAGCTCAAGGTAAAAATAGAATCTAGAAATCTAGATTCTAGTGCAATTACTAGATCCTCAGTATTAGCATTGATCCCCTTAATTATGCCTGATATAGTTAACCTTAATGTTGGTATAGTCAAACTGTTTTGTTAATAAGTTTATTATGATCCTTTGGTCCCTTCTTTCCCCCCCCCCCCCCCATTCATAACCCTAAATTTTTTTTAAAGCGTTTTGGCCTAACATTTTGTGTGGCTGTAGTGCCAAATGACCTGACTCATGAAGTGCAAATGCAGTTGTTGGTTTTTTTTTTACATATTGACTAAGTGGATCAAACTGTAAGATTTTAGATACCGATGCAGGGGGTCGAGTCGGTAAAGCTCATGGTTGCTGAGCAGAAAAAGTCTTGAGTTGAAACCCTCTGGCAGATGAGGCTTGTTAGCTGGAGACAGCCACTCTTCTAGGAGAGACAACTCCATAATCAAACAACTGCTGCCTTGTAGTTTGTTCTAGGTTGGACAAAAGCTATGGAAGCATCCAAAAAGAAAAGCAGGCTGAAATCTGTGTCAATGGCACATAACCAGTTAACGCGTATACTTAATTGTGTTGGGAGGCGTGGTTCGAGTTGGCAAAGCTCATGGTTGTTAAATTTGAAAAAGTCTCAAGTTCGAGCCCTCTGTTAGATAAGGCTCGATCCCTTCCAAAACTAAAAATTAAGAACGAAGAAGATTTCGATGCCTGAAAATAGACTTCCAAAAATAGGTGTGTTAGGTTGTTAGTAGTATTGTAATAACTAGTTTTATGATAAGATATAAGGGTTAGGTGTATGGTAGGACCAGGGTTAGGGATAGGGTAAGCATTGCCATAAGCAAGCAATGTGTATTTTAGTTAGCTACCAGTTAATTGGCACCCCTTTTTTAAGATTCTATTATCTGACACTGCTATAAAAATTCCCCCCAACTGCTTACTGGCAAGCCTCCCTAGGCAAGGCGGAGCAAATAAAATGCATGTGAATAAGCACTCTTTGTGTATGACATTTAACTTTTTGACATTGCAATATCTGGTATTGGAAGTGTTTTAGTGGCGTTTTTATCAATCACAATGAGGACCCTGGGAAGACATCTTTCAAAGCTATATTTCTACTTAATCGAGTGATAACAAAAATAGCCAAATAATTTTAGATTCAGTGGGCATGTAAGCCTACCATCTATCATTATACAGTATACAACAAATTTTAACTGCAGGCTCAATAAGGTCAAATATACAAAAACTAAAAAAAACTTTCTTTTTTAAAAATTTCCCTCTTTCATTTATTTATAATGGGCAGGTATATTTATTTTCAGCTGCTCGAGGCAGGGGACAGAGAGGAAGAGGTGGTGGAAATATCTTCCAAAAACGTCGTTGATGTTGATTGTTCCATCTCATCACTGTCTTTATGTACATTTTTTCAATCTGATCATCATATTTGTCATTTTTCTTTGGTACACAAAATTTTTCAAACAAGTACTTTTTCATTTTTGATGTTATAATAAATTTTTTCCATAAAATGTGCTTTGTTTTATTCACTCTTTATTCTCTGTACTGTACCCGCTTTTGATTTTTTTTAACAATGTAAATATGGCTTGTGGGTGGGGGTATAGTTTTATCTTATGGTATTCAGTTAAAAAAAACAACATAAAAAATGAATTTCTTGTTAATCATTGTTATACATCTTTTATTTTTTTTTTATAAATTCTATGAACATCTGCAGACTTTCTTTGGTTTAACATTAATCTTACTAATGTAAAGCTCAACATGTTCATCCAATCTAGTAAAACAATTGGTTCAGTCATGCTAAAATGTAAAAGTGTCATGAAAATGCCCTAACTATTTCTATTAAGAAAATTGATAAACCAGCTCGTTTGGAAAACTCTTTTCATTTAGTATTAGGGCTACTTCTAAAACTAAAAAACCATTTCTTCTAACTGGTGGAAACAGCATAGTTAATAAAGCATATATGCAAGTGATAGTAAACATTTGTATACCAAAATTAGTATTCATAGTCTAGCAACTGGGCAGTCAAAAACAAAACCTTAGGGGTGACTGGACATTCAAAAGGAATATATTTTCATGATCACAAATTTTAATGCAGAAGTGGTATATCATCACTAAAGTAAATGTATGAACAAAAGATGGATATCATGCAGCTGCTAGTTCAGTAGTTGCGTAAACAGCATTCCTGCTCATTTGAGCTAACTTGATATATGTACACATACAAATAATACAATTTTTTTATATTATAGTATTGTACAAGTTTTCCACAGCACATAATTTATAATCATACGTAACAACTAACTTGTTCTGAAAGTTTGCAAATCTTGTCACAACTAACTTGTTCTGAAAGTTTGCAAATCTTGTCACTACCGGCTACATTATAAACTATAAGTGCTAATCAAATTCTTACAAGTAAATAGCGTTAAGTACTATTTCTGCTCAGCGGAAACTACTCAAAATTTGAAAAAACCTAGTGAATAAGATCTAATATGGTATTAAAGTTCTAGATATCAGGTCGCACATAAATTGTAATTGAGAAACATGAAGTAGAGTAAGTATCAATTCCGGTTATAAGAAACTACTCAAAGTTGATTGTAAAGTAAACACTAACTTTTGACTTCACTTTTCTGACTCATTGACAAGATTGCAAAACAAAGTGAAACATTTTGATTTTTTTTGCACAGCTACAATACTTCCTCTTTAAAAGACAAAGTAAAAAACGACAGTGAAAGTAGTTAAAAGTACAATAAAACTAAAGATTAAAATGCAGTATTATAATGTACATATTTTTATTGTATTTATGAACACCACAATTGCAATTATTTTTCAATAAAAACTAGATATGTTGACCATCTTTATCAACATAAACCTAAATGATAAAATTTCATTCTTTAAAAGGTGAAGCAAGCTTATGTAAACATACCAAAGTTTAAAAAAAAAAAGTAAGTTAACTTCTCAACAAATCACCGAGGTTAGTTATGATACAAAAACAGCTGAAATTAGAAGTCCTAAAAATACTTGTTCTTTACTTGCTTGATTTGCCAAAAAATCCTTTTTTTGCTGGTTTTTCTTGGCCAGACTGAAAAGATGACAGGATATCTTGCAGTTAAAAATAGCAAACAATTGTATACAGCAAAATTCAATTCAAGCAATATCAAATAATTTCATATAATAAATGGGGCTTAATGAAAGTTAATGCATCAGATTTTGTGGATATCCACGAATATTAAATCTGTCCTCTGAAAACTTAGTTCCAATATTATAACTATAACCTAATCAAAATAATTAATAAAGGGGATTATTTTCAGAAATGGAAAAAAAAAATATTAAAAGTAAAATAAAACAATTAAAAATGCTTATTTTTTTTTAAAAGCATGATTTTCTTTAATAAAATTGATTCATGATGGTAACCTATTTTTGGAAGTTTTCTAGTCATATATTAAATTAATAATAAGTACAGAAAGGCCAAAGGGTTCATGACTTCTGTAGCTTATTTCTACAACAATACAGCAGATGTCGGCATTGATATAACCTTATTATAACTCTAGGACTGCCATTTTGATTTATGTGTCAGCATAAATAGTTCTGTTTGTTGTAATGTGGGAATGGTCACATTAAATTTAATAACTAGATGTCTATGTGAACTCACAAGTCTACTTTAATGAGTTCCAGAATTCCAATGTATGGTACTTTGGATGAGCATCGTTGGTTTAATAAAGTTAATGTAATTAACTAAGCCAAGTTACTAAACAATTTCAACTGACCTAAAAATTACAGGGCAGTGAAGATATATTTTAAACTTCTTTCTATAAAAAAAAAAGAGTCCATACATTAGCAAAGCTGTTCTTACCAATAGCTTTGCTCCCAACAACATTTTGGCTTTATCCTCTTCTTCTTGAACATCAGTGTGGGGTGGTTCATCAAGAACTCTTGCTTTCCAGTGCAGTTTTTGCTTTATGGCCTACAATTACAATAACAAAGTGAGAAAAACTGGTTCCTTCTAACTAGCATTAGAGACGTGAAAATTTCTATACTATAACTATAAGCCTAAATATTTCATCATGGAACATTATTTTTTAGAAATGTATTATTATAGTTGTTTAAATTTAAATAACCTTTTTTATGATAAAAAGAAGAGGACTCTCAATCCTGACCAACCATCCCGCCCCTCCCTGATTAAAAGAACTGACTGTCATATAACCATTAACTGACCTGTGAAAGAAGAACTCGTTTGCTGTGGTTTTTTAGTGTGATTAGGAAGTCAAACCATGTCCAGATGTTATTGTGGTATTCTACTGTTGGTAAGATGAAACTGAAATCATGGACGTCTTCTATATTTTTCTCTTTCTGACCCTAGGAATAGAACAGTAAAAAAAAAATTATGAACATTTAAATTAGAAAAAAATTATTACCCGATGAGATATTTATAACTTTATTATAAAAATTTTTTCAAACTAAACATGAAACACATATAATATTTATAACATTGCCATAAAACTCACTAATTTCGACATCTTCTAATTTTACAAGATCTGTATTACGGTTAACAAGTAATGTGTCATGTCATCTCTATAACTTTCATACTACAAAGATTTCACAATGTACAGTTATTTACCTTATAGCTGACCCTTGCAATGACCTCTGGTATTTTTATGTATAAAAATGTGTTATTCTTGGCTGCTCTTTCCTGCAAAAGTCAACATCATAAGATTCATGCATCTCCAAACTTTATCAGATGATAATTACACTTCAAAATCTCCATTTAAATTATTAGTAAAAATAATTTCATAATATACCAAAACTGCTTTTATTTTAATTTTAGAACATTTTACTAAATTTTAGATATATATAAATGAGACAAAAACTTTAAAAACATACTCTCATTTTGTTGATATCATCAGCACTGCTGAAAGATGCAACAGAACGCAAAGAACTTTTCTCAGTATCTTCTGTTTTTTCTTTCTTCTTTTCTTTGTCTTTTTTGTTGTTTTTCTTTTCTTTTTTCTGCTTGATGTCCATTTCATCCTCTAAAAGTATTTAAAATTAAATTTAATTCATCTTAAGATTATAAATAACTAGGCATACTGCCTAGCTTCGCTTAGGTTTTCAAAAAAGTTGGGGAATTGAATGATTAATTAATAGGTGATTGGCTGCTATCTTAAATGCTTAGGGCCTAAATTTTTACAGTGGAGAATTTTAATGTCACTCAGATAATCGATGGAATATTCGCAAACTTATTACTTGTACGGTTATTAGAACAGCAAGGGTTTTCTTAATATTATCAATCAAATATTATAATAAATTACTTTCGCAATTAATTTATACAATTACAGTTCAATGCAAAACTTAATTCGTAACAAAATATTTATTTAAAACAATGCTATACTTTATGATTTTTGTTTTTTTTCTTAAAAAGAGTATACAAAATATTTAAAAATTATTACATTAAAAAGTTACCTCCCCTGTTCAAAGACCAAATGACCAAATCTTGTATAATGAGAATTTCACTCGCGGTCATTTTTAGCCCTCTAAGAGGGCTATAAGTCTGACCAACAGTTTTCCATACGGCGTAGTCAGCTTTTGAGGTGTATACAAAAAATTAGTCAGATGTAAAGAGGGTAAGTGTCCTAAAATCCGTTTTCAAATTACCCTCTGTTTTTTCCATAAAATACAAAGATAATATAGGGAAATACGACTGGTCAGTTTTGACCCATTTAACGAATTTTCCCGGACATGGCGAGTTTTTTGTGACACCCCAAGGCGTTCTCCTACCACCTCACAAAATTTCAAGGGGGGTCGTCGGAGGAAATTTTTTTTCGTAATAGAGCTCATATAAAGAGAATTTCACTCGCGGTCACTTTTTAGCCCTCGTCGAGGGCTTTGAGTGAAACCGACAGTTTTCCCTAAAGGTCAAGCCATTTACCTAAGAGCATGCAAAACATTAGCCAGATGTAAAGACGGTAAGTGCCCTAAAATCCGTTTTGAAATCACCCTCTGTTTTTCCCATAAAATACAAAGATTATATAGGGAAATACGACTGGTCAGTTTTGACCCATTTAACGAATTTTCCCGGACATGGCGAGTTTTTTGGGACATCCCAGGGCGTTCTCCTACCACCACACAAAATTTCAAGGGGGGTCGTCGGAGGAAATTTTTTTTCGTAATAGAGCTCATATAAAGAGATTTTCACTCGCGGTCACTTTTTAGCCCTCGTCCAGGGCTTTGAGTGAAACCGACAGTTTTCCCTAAAGGTCAAGCCATTTACCTAAGAGCATGCAAACAATTAGCCAGATGTAAAGACGGTAAGTGCCCTAAAATCCGTTTTGAAATCACCCTCTGTTTTTCCCAGAAAATACAAAGATTATATAGGGAAATACGACTGGTCAGTTTTGACCCATTTAACGAATTTTCCCGGACATGGCGAGTTTTTTGGGACATCCCAGGGCGTTCTCCTACCACCACACAAAATTTCAAGGGGGGTCGTCGGAGGAAATTTTTTTTCGTAATAGAGCTCATATAAAGAGATTTTCACTCGCGGTCACTTTTTAGCCCTCGTCCAGGGCTTTGAGTGAAACCGACAGTTTTCCCTAAAGGTCAAGCCATTTACCTAAGAGCATGCAAACAATTAGCCAGATGTAAAGACGGTAAGTGCCCTAAAATCCGTTTTGAAATCACCCTCTGTTTTTCCCAGAAAATACAAAGATTATATAGGGAAATACGACTGGTCAGTTTTGACCCATTTAACGAATTTTCCCGGACATGGCGAGTTTTTTGGGACATCCCAAGGCGTTCTCCTACCACCTCACAAAATTTCAAGGGGGGTCGTCGGAGGAAATTTTTTTTCGTAATAGAGCTCATATAAAGAGAATTTCACTCGCGGTCACTTTTTAGCCCTCGTCGAGGGCTTTGAGTGAAACCGACAGTTTTCCCTAAAGGTCAAGCCATTTACCTAAGAGCATGCAAAACATTAGCCAGATGTAAAGACGGTAAGTGCCCTAAAATCCGTTTTGAAATCACCCTCTGTTTTTCCCATAAAATACAAAGATTATATAGGGAAATACGACTGGTCAGTTTTGACCCATTTAACGAATTTTCCCGGACATGGCGAGTTTTTTGGGACATCCCAGGGCGTTCTCCTACCACCACACAAAATTTCAAGGGGGGTCGTCGGAGGAAATTTTTTTTCGTAATAGAGCTCATATAAAGAGATTTTCACTCGCGGTCACTTTTTAGCCCTCGTCCAGGGCTTTGAGTGAAACCGACAGTTTTCCCTAAAGGTCAAGCCATTTACCTAAGAGCATGCAAACAATTAGCCAGATGTAAAGACGGTAAGTGCCCTAAAATCCGTTTTGAAATCACCCTCTGTTTTTCCCAGAAAATACAAAGATTATATAGGGAAATACGACTGGTCAGTTTTGACCCATTTAACGAATTTTCCCGGACATGGCGAGTTTTTTGGGACATCCCAAGGCGTTCTCCTACCACCTCACAAAATTTCAAGGGGGGTCGTCGGAGGAATTTTTTTTTCGTAATAGAGCTCATATAAAGAGAATTTCACTCGCGGTCACTTTTTAGCCCTCGTCCAGGGCTTTGAGTGAAACCGACAGTTTTCCCTAAAGGTCAAGCCATTTACCTAAGAGCATGCAAAAAATTAGCCAGATGTAAAGATGGTAAGTGCCCTCAAATCCGTTTTGAAATCACCCTATGTTTTTCCCATAAAATACAAAGATTATATAGGGAAATACGACTGGTCAGTTTTGACCCATTTAACGAATTTTCCCGGACATGGCGAGTTTTTTGGGACACCCCAAGGCGTTCTCCTACCACCTCACAAAATGTCAAGGGGGGTCGTCGGAGGAAATTTTTTTTCGTAATATAGCCCATATAAGGCGCCGTTCAGTCGAGGTCAGTTTTGACCCCCTCTCCGTGGACTTTTCGGCCAACCGTCACCGGCCATCGTGTTCTATCGCCCCAAGGCACCACCGTGCCAAATTTGACGCGCCTGCGGCGCCGGGAAGTGCCCTATCGGGCACTTGACCACTTTGCTTTATATATATAGATTAATAAATAACTATATTCTATAAGTATTAGTAAGATATTTAAACTTCAAGCACATTATTAAACATTTCTATTCTTAGTTCAAGTTTATAGCCTACAGGTAAATAGGATATGTAAATGCTTACTTAATATTTAGTTAGAAACTTTCAAGACATTAAGAAGCTTTAAAAAATCTGGGAAAACAAATCTTGCAGCTGCTGAACATGGGTTCAACTTACCATCATCGACCTCCACATTCTTGTCAGGGAAAAAGAACTCCATGACAGCTTTGTAAAACTGGTAGGTCATCTGGATCTGAATGGGTGCGACATTGACCTCAAAGTGTTCTTTCACTGGGATGCCACCCACTGGAGAGATGAAGTAAAAAAAACAAACAATCAGTCTTACATTAAATTTATATTGAAATTAAAAACAAAAACATTCATAAAAATTCATTAAATTAAAAAATGTTTTTATTTTAGAAGCATAATTAAATTTCTTAATTAAAACAAAACAAATGAGAAAATGTTCAATATTTTTTTGCTAAATTTATGAATCATCTTTTCTCTTCAGTACCCAGGACTCATGGGGTACGTTTAAGAATACTTGTACCACATTAAGGTGGTTTATCAAGTTTCAAGGACTATTTATGATGCATACAATTTTAAACAAAAATTCACAGAAGTAAGAAAATAAGTAAAGAAATGCTATATATAAGAAATCTGATGTTGACCTGGGGGTCTCTCAGTACAGGTGATTCTTAAGGCCATTTGTCTATTTTCTCCCTCCTGTCCTTGGGGGTCTTTGGGTACAAGAACTTTCTAGAAATAAATAAAAAGTTGAAGAAAATCATTATTCATCACTAAGAAGATTACATTAACACAGATTCATCTAAATACTTTAGATAAAGTGACAAAAGCCAATGGAACCTTATCAAATGATGTATAGATTCCAAATAATATGGGTTAGAAAACATTTGCGAGATTAAAAAGAAGTGCTAGTGCTAATGATTTTAATTTTTCATCAAGAAAAAACAAATGCAGTTATTCCCCTTACTTGGTAGAAGTTATCAGTGAGCAGATTTTCAACCTTGACCCAGTTAAGTTCCAGTTGATGAGTCCATGTATCATCATCTCTGTTGACCTTGGTATATCTGAAGAAAGTGTAACAAAAATGAATTTTAGTTTCAGATCATCTATTTTAATAATTACTTACATTTGTGTTATTAGCATCCTAAATAGATTTCACTTGTGTATTAATTAATTAATTCAGTAAATTACTTTTTTTCAGGGCATGTTTGTTTAAAATTTAAAGGAACAGTTTTTTGTGCATTTGTGAAGAGATGAAGACAAAGACTATAAATGATAAAATGAACCTAAAAATTAAAAGGAATAGGAACAGTTTTTTTAAAATTTAGCTAAAACTCATTAAAAAATAAATTAGTGTGGTCTGTGAGCGTGCCACAAAAAAAGATATGCAAATTTGTTCCAGAGCCAAAGGTAGACAAAAAGTACAGAAAATAGACCTTGTAAAGACAGAACAGTTTTAGGATCTAAGCCGAATTGCCACGTCTGCAGTGCATCAGTTCAGAAGTGTAAACACTACAACCTGTTTGCCCTAGCTTGTAATTTCCAAATGATTTTAAAAAATCTATGCATAAAAACCACATTTTTAAAAAAAGTCAGTGAAAAAACAAGGATTATTAAATTAATACATACTTCATTCACAAAGGAAACTAACTTGTAATTTATAAGTAAGCAATTCAATAAACTTACACAAAGTTACGAAGCTCAAGTTCTGCTATTCCACAATGCCCATCTCTTTCTGTCATACGCCACTTGGCATATTTAAAACAGACTTCATTTCTTCTAACTACTTGTGCTTGTTGGGCTGTTAAAAAATACAAATAAATGTACAGTTTGAAAACATTTTTTAAAGCTAATTTTTATTTACTAGAAAACAAAAAATATTTTATAACTTACATTTTTCCATTTTCATCTGCGCTTTAACTTGTAGCTGGCTCTCATTGTAGCAACTGGAAATATTTTTGTTTAAAATGTGTAAATAAAAGCCAATACATATCTTAAAAATAAATCCAAATTAACAATAACAAACACAGACCTTATTCTCATCCCCAATTCTTCATTCTTTAATCCAATCCAGTTTTTCATGTCATCCATAGCAATTTCTAAGTGCTCCATCCTGTAAATAAAAATGTACCATTTTTCAGGATTTTTGAAGCATTTTTGTTGTGGTAAAGCAGTAAAATGAACTTTTCATTTCCTAGTGCAACTCTAGAATAAATAGTGTTATGTTTTAAAACAATCACAGCTCAATTAAAAAAAAAAATTTGTCATGTAATTTTCAAAACTTTTTTCTCAATATTTCAGCAGAGTCAAGTAAAAAAAAATAAAGTTATGTGAAGGAGTACTGTACTATAATTTTTATGCATACAATCAGATTCAATGTAATTCCTGTTTTTTTTTAAATGATAGAAAAAAGTTTACAGTAATAGAAAAATTTTAAGGCAAAGAAAAGTTAGAAGTAAATAAAATGGTGCACTTACTTTTCTTCATCATTTTGCGTTTTTGCTATGTAATATTCTTTCTCCAAGAGGCGTAATTCTTGGACCTTCTCCCTAAAATATGTTAAAATATAATTATAAGATATTAAGAGAATGGTACCTATGAAACTTTTTAGAACATAAAAATAAATAAATAAAATTTGATGAACAGTAAATTAAAAACTCATTCTAAACTTTATTTACCATAAACTACTTTAAATAAATGGGACGGAGTGGTCTAGCGGTAGAGAGCTGGACTGCTAACCCGTAAGTCTCGAGTTTGAATCCGGGTTCAAGTCAGTAGACCATCCCTGAGTCCACCCAACTCTGATGGGTACCTAACTCACGTTAGGGAAAGTAAAGGCGGCTGGGCATAGTGATGACCACACTATCTCTTCATATGCCGAGGTCACAGAAACAAGCGAACTCTACTTCACTTGCCCCATAGACCGTCGGGTTTGAAAGGGAAACTTACATACTTTAAATAATGGAAATATCTTCAAGTTTTATAAACACTTTTGCCAACATTTGATGAAGGCTCGGTTAGACTTAAGAATTATTAATACTATGTTAGATATCCGCAAATTTTTGTATCTACTCTGTTCAGCTACACCCTTTTTCTTAGGTTTCTGGTGCGGGCTTGTTTTAATATCCAAAGGTGTGGCCAGCCCAAGAACATTTGTGATGACAAAACCAACCTGACAATCTCCTGCAACTGTAGGATGGGTGTCTTCTGATCTTCATCCCTGTACAGTTGGAGTTTAAATTTCATGTTCTGCAGTCTGTCACTGGCAGCCTATAGAGTTAATACAAAACTTTGATTCAAACATTTCCCTATTTACAACACTGAAGATTTAAGAATGTTAAAACAAGTCATATAATTTTTTAGAAATTTTTATTAGAAAATAAACATAAAAAAGCTAATCTAACAGTAGTCGTGAAACACTAAATAATTATGAATTCTATAGCTGTTTTTTACATTAAATAATTGTCACTAAATAATGAATAGTAATAATTGGCTTACTTTTTTCTTGGGTTCAACATAGAGCAATAGATTATTTACAATATCCATTATCACAGAAAACTGTAGCTAAAATGATAATAAAAATAATCAGTTAATGATTTTTATTTTTAATGAGTTATATTTTAATGCAAGAATCAATAATATTGTTGGAGTGTCAATTGATCATAAAGAAAAAAAAAACCAATACACCACAACTTCTTTGTTTAATGTACTAAGGGTTACATTTTTTAAATAAACAGTAGGGAAAGGCCTTACTGGGTTGGAATAAGCGTAGACACTTTCATGTAACAAAGTAAATGTGTCCACTCCTTCCTCAACACTCATCACATCACCATCTTCAATCGGCTGGGGAATTTTAGTTTAGTACATCCATAAATATTTACAATTTTCAGCTTTTTGAAAGTTTTTTAAATTATATTTTCTAGATTTTATAAAGATTGTGCTAAAAGGTATTTCTTCAAATTTTCATATGAGATTTAAATGTAGGTAGATATTGGGGATTTAAATAAAGATTTTAATGGTGATTTAAAACGTAATTAGCAGTGGAATTATTAAATGAGGAAATACAAATTACAGGTAAGGGAACTTCTGGCAGACTGTTGGGGTCCACATCGCCATAGTTAGCATAGAAAAACTTGCAGCTGCACCGGTAGATGATCCTCTGAAGTTGAACTGTATCCGAACTTGTGCTCTGTGCAATAATTAAATAATCTTTCTTTAGTCAATTGTGCTCTGTTAAGTATGTAAATAATCTTTTTTAGTCAATTGTGCTCTAAAAAGTATGTAAATAATCCTTTTTAGTAAAAAACAAATCAGTTTTAAAAAAAAAAACTTTTCACCTCATTGACTCAAATTTGAAGTAAGTAGTACATTGGAATAAAACACCAGTAATGTATGTTTTTAACATAAAGCTATTAATTCCAATTTTATTAAATTGCTACCCCTTAATAGTCAAATTGCTTTACTGATTTTGTTCTTACAAGAACATTTTTTTACATAATAAACTAAGTTTGGAGAAGGCAGTACAGGCAGGGAAAAAAACTGCTAATGTATCTTTTGAAAGTCAAACAAGTTTAAAAAAAACTGGTGATTCTTAGTTTTAAAAAGGTTGTTGCCCTTTAATTGATTTAGTACTTGTCAGAACATTTTTTGTTTTCAACTATTGAGAAAGCAGTACACGTGAAAAAAAAAAACTTCAACATTGATACCAGTCTTAATATTTTCATGCTGATGGCAACTCCTAAAGTGAAACAACTGACCTGTTCAGAAGCTGGCTTGACCCCAGTCACAACACTGCTGACCACACTGCCCACAGACTGACCACTGCTTATCATCTCTGGCAAGCCACTGAGGTCAGTGTTGGCCCTGTCCTCCACATTTTCCCTCAGCAACCAAGGGATGTTGTCCCTCTCATAGCTGTTGTTTGGGTCCACAGTGGCATAGTACTGGGGACAAAACAGGACATAATGGTGAGGCACACAGAAGAATTTTTTTCTTCTTCCTACAACAGTTTATTTATATATATATATATATATATATATATATATATATATATATATATATATATATATATATATATATATATATATATATATATATTTACTAGGCATACTGCCAAGCTTTGCTTAGGTTTAAGAAAAACATTTGCCTAAAATCATACCGTATACATAAGTTGGGTAACAAACCAATAGTAAACAACACTATTCCTAATTTAATACCAACATCTTAAAAGTAAAATGAATATTTTAATCATAAATAACGAAGAGATTTTGTTCCTTAGGCCTATTTGTTCTGACCTGTACTTTAATTCACAAAGAATGGTTTATTTTTACTTAATAAATATAAACCTTTTAATTTTTAATGTATGTTTATTCCCGTAACAGGCATCTGACCCGTTTGCCTGATAAAAGTATATTTATATATAGAATTTATTTTTTTCTCAGAATATAAACAGATTTCTTTGCATAGTTTTCATATGTAGGAATGTGTTCAACAGGGTCTAAACACTCATGAGCCCAGCACCTAGGCTTTAGACAGTTATCTGTATTTGTGATTCTGGGTGCCTTTTTACTACAAAAATTAATTTAGATTATACACCCACACAATTCATCTGTTGAATTTATATATGGAAACAATAAGCAGCAACCCAAGTTGTAAACACAACCTGAGGTCCATAACAAAGTGGACAATGTGATAAAAAAAAAACCCAACTCAACCCTCTATAGTTTTAATTTCAAATATTAAATGCAATTGTAAAATTTAATCTGTGGCTCTAAATAGAACATGGACAATGATATAAGATATGACTAAGTTAAACTATGGACAATGATATTATCAGATATGACACAAACGTACACTAAAAGTACTAAAGAATCCCAAACCCCTGTACCTGCATACAGTCCACATCACCATTCCAGGTTGACTTGGACCTGAGCTGACCGTGTCGCCAGATTGGCATGTGGGTGAATGAGGTCATCTTGGCCCTGGCGGCACTGACGATGACGTAGCCAGGGGTTTCACAACCTTTGAGGACAACCTGACTGTTGTGTAGCTCAACTGTGGATGGATTAAAACACAATGCCTCGTTTTACTCCAGGTCAATGATAAATATTTATACACATTTACATATTATCTACATTTAACATTATTTATGTTTTAAGATTAGATGTTATTTATATTTAACATTTGATATTATTTGTTGAACAGTTGATATTATTTATGTTTAACAGTTGATATTATTTACATTTAACATTTGATATTATTTATGTTTAACATTTGATATTATTTATGTTTAACATTTGATATTATTTTTGTTTAACATTTAATATGATTTATGTTTAACATTTGATTATATTATATACCTTTAACATTTGATACTTTAAGTTAAAATGTATTATTAAAGCTAGATGTGTTTGAGGTCAACTTTAAAAACACAATAGAATGCTTAGGAACAGTAATTATATTAAAAAAATTACCTTGCAGTAAACAAACAGAATAAGATAGTGTGTTTAATAGAATAACTAAATATAGCTTTAACAGAAGACAGTGTAAAGCCAAGTGTAAAATCAAACATACTCTGCCAGTTTGTCTGCAGGATATCTGTTAGCTTACAAGCTCTCAGACCATGCAGCTGATCCACATTGCTATCTGAGGGCTAAAAATAGATTGGCATGTTTTACTTTTGATAGCTATATTAAAATCTATTTGAAATTACATGCACAGGCAATCATTTTAAACTTATTACCTGTGTCTAACTTATTTTCATTACTCATACACACACTCCTAATAAATGTCCTACCAAATTAACAAAAAATTCGAACAAATAACTATTTCTTAACTATCATCAGGTTTTGTTTACTTTAAGATTCTTATTTGAACATGGCTAAAAAAATATATATTTAAAAGATGGTTATGAATCTTAATTTTAAATACCCTACAATATACTTATTACAAAGCCACATAAGCAGCCCTTAAATAATTCATAAAATAACTCCCAGAAAAAAGAGTACCTCTTCAGTGAAAGCAACAGATTTGCTGTCTGACTCTGAGACCAGCTTCATCAACATGGAGTGGGCGTGTCCCATCTGGAGTTTACTCAGTGGGGTGGGGTTGGTCAAATCTGAGCCCGCCTCAGAGTTGGGGGGTGCAGTGTCTGGGCTGCTCAGGGAGAAGGAACGGTTTTTCTGTGGAAAGTGAATTCAATTCTTTAGATAAAAGCATTTTTCCATTTTATACATCTGGATTGTAAAAGAGATTTTTTTCAGGAGAAATAAAACTAACATGTTGATAATTATTTTTAAAGCTTAAATTCTAAAACATCAAAAATATAATAATGTTTCTCATATTGTATTTTCCAAAATATACTTCAATGAAAAATATCCTTGTGTTTAGTGTAACATTATTAAGTCAGATTTTAAAACTGCTCTCACATGTTGCTGTAAGAAATGTTTGTACATTGTGTGTATAAGAAATCTAGAATTTCCATCATATTGCTGTTTAAGTATTTTTTTATACCACAGATTATACAACTTAAAAACAAAACTAACAGCTTCAGAATTACTTTAAAGTTGAGAGCATAAATGTGATGGCATGGTCAAACGGTAGAGAGTTCAACTGTTAAAAAACACCAAATAACACAACAAAAATTCTTACAGTGACACTGGGTGTTGTTTCCACACGAAATCCTTTCAGGGCCTCTGATGACAGGTTTCTGCGCAGGGCCTTGGCACGCATGTAGCTGTCATACAGGTTCATGACAACTGTCCGGTTGAATTGATTCCAGGCGCCTTTCATTTCATGGATGGAAACACTGTGGGTTGGGATACGCTGTCAAGGGGAGATAATTTTTAATGGATGTTTTAATAATTTCTTTTACGTCTACACATTATTTGTGTTTTCTAAAGCAAATTTATCTTTGTTGTTAAATTTAATTCATAAATTAAAAAAAAAAAAAGATATATTTTAAAGCTCTTAGATGAATTAAAGTAAAAGTTGATTTTTTATATTTTGGGCCTCATGGTCCAGAGAAGGTAATCTAAGAAGGATGGTGTGGTCAGTGCTGCTTCCAGCTGCATTACTTACACCAGACCCGAGCTAGGTGCACACAGGAGCATCCTAAATGATCAGACCCAAAACTGAACTCAGGACAATCAGGTAAGCAACCAAGATCTCAATTGGCCCCTATCAATTCACATCCTTTAAGATTTAATTTTCCATTTACTAAAAGTAATTTCAGGAAAAAACAACTCTGTTACCTGCTCCTGTTCTTCAACAGAGTTGCCTGGCTTGTTCTTCCTGTCAGCTCTCTGGTAACTGATTCTAAGGGAGATAACACAAAACACAAACTGTGAAATAATGATATAAACTTTACTTAATTGACACTCGACCCTCACATTTTAAAGCTTTTCCCACTAATACTAAATCTATTATAATATTATATTCTATATAAATTTCAAATCCCGGGCTTTGAGTCTGTAGGGTGTTCCTGAGTATACCCAGCTCTGATGGGTACCTGACTCATGTTATGGAAACAAAGGTTGCTGGGCATAGTGCTGACCACATTATCCCCTTGTATACCAAGGTCATTGAAACAGATGAACTCTACTTCATCTGCCCCATGTGTCTTGGGCATAAATAGGAAACTATTATGGTAGGATCAATTTACGTAGAGATTTAAAGATAAATGCATGACACATATCCAATACTTATTTTCTTGCATTCATTCTGTAAGAGAAAATTTTACTCACTTAGTGACACTGAGGAAAAAACTCCTCTCCGCTGGTCCAGGTGACGCACTGGACTGAAAGACAGAAAAAAAATTGTATGTTGGCACGTAATAAGGTAAAATATACTATCACACTAATAAAAAACATTAGCTCACAAAATGTGAACTTCAGGGTTACAAGTTCCAATAGATGATGTATGATTGTTAACCCTTTCACTGCAGTGTTTACAGCTAGAAGTATATGACAAGTTTGTCATATACTTTTGGAGTTAATTTTATGAGACAAACCTGTCATGCTCAGTGATAAGTAGATTTTAAAAAATTGGACTCCTTATTTATAGCTTGAGATTGTACTTTTGGGTTAGCAGTGTCATTGTATGTTTTATTGCTAAAGAAAGTAACCTTAGCCATAACCAAATAGCAAATATTGACAGTGTTGTAGGTTATGGCTCCAGTACTAACTTTAACTCAGCCACTAACATTGTGGTGACACCCAACCACTAATCTTAACTTGTAGGGGGTGGCTCTAGCACTAACTTGAACTCAGCCATTAACACTATGGTGGGGTGTGGCTTTAGCCCGAACCAAACCACTAATCTTAACCTGTAGGGGTAACTCTAGCACTAACTTTAACTCAATCACTAACACTGTGATGGGGCGTGGCTTTATCCGTAACCCTAATCTTAACTTGTAGGTCTTGGCTCTAACACTAACTTTAACTCAACCACTAACACTGCGATAGAGTGGGGCTTTAGCCCTAGTCCTAACCAAACCACTAATCCTAACCTGTAGGAAGTGGCTCCAGTACTAACTTCAACTCAACCACTAACACTGTAATAGAGTGGGGCTTTAGCACTAATCCAACCACTAATCCTAATCCTGTAGGGTGTGGCTGAGCCACAGACTCACCTCATCCTTGCCTTTATTCTTGCACAGGTAAATCCTGGTGGGCCCCAGGTGACACTTGAGGTACTTGATGCTCCACTCTGCCTGGGGTCTGTGAAGGAGGCCATCTTCTAGAGGAACCAGGTTCAACTTGTTGCACATCTGTTCAAGTCAGTAGTCTCAAAGTTAAACAGGTGATTGGTTGCACAGCTATTAGATACTAATTAAATTAAGTTTAATCATTGTAAGTTGCAGCAATATTTTAAGCATTAATTAATATTGTAACAAAAAGAAGAAAAATAATTAAGTTTGATACTGTTTCTTTTTATAAAAGCATAAATAGCTAAAAAAAATAGTAATTTTAATTACTAATGATAGATATAATTACTAATGATGGGTTAAAAGCGATTTCTAGAGTTATATTTATTAATAGTGATGAATTGATTTTTTTCCCAGAGAAAATAATTTTAAAAAATGACTGAAACCTGCAAGACGTAAAAGATGTGACTAAGAAGAATGAATTTATTGAAATACCTGGAGAACAAAAGAATCAGAAATGAGCTCAGCTCCGTGTTCTTTGGCGTTGGACATCCAGTGACAGATGGCAAACTTGTGGAAATCCACTGACAGTTTGATCTTCCTGTACACACAAAAATGTGATTTGTAAATATCTTGTAGGCTACACTTTAGCATGAATGTTAAAGAGACGTAATTGTAAACAGTAACTATTTTACATAGGTCTTCTTCTTCTTCTCCGTTCTTAATGTTAGTGTTGGAAGGGATCCCCCAGCACAATTAAGGATATGTGCCAACTGGTTATGCGACAATGAGGCCATTGACTCAGATTTCAGCCTGCTTTTCTTTTTGGATTTGCTTCCATAGCCTTTGTCCAATCAAGAACAAACTACAAGGCAGCTGTTGTTTGATTTTGCAGTTGTCTCTCCTAGAAGAGTGGTTGTCCCCAGCTAATAAGCCTCATCTGCCCGAGGGTTCGAACTCGAGACTTTTCGGTTTAGCAACAATGAGCTTTACCAACTTGACCACGCCAACATAAGTAATTAACAAGATTTTTAAAATCCTTATTTTCTCAATAATCATCTTCCAGAAAAGAAAAATTATTGAAGAAAAAAGTGTCCAAAAGGAAAAGAGACAGCTAGAAAGAAATAAAATTACTTGTAATGTCTCGTGAGCTGGAGTTTACGAGGGGTGACGATACCAAAGAGTTTACCTCTTCTGACTGGCCTTGTGACACTAAACATGCAGTTCTGTAGACCGTTTGACATTAAAAAACTCAATTAGAATGTGCACTTAATTAATGACGAAACTAAATAGTTTTACACATAACTGGGCAGCCTATGATAAAGCAGTATCAAAAATTTTAAAAATAAAAATTTAAGAAATATAGATTGAGACAGTCATCAACAGTGTTAATTTACACAAAAAGTTATTGTTACAAATAATTTTTCTTCAATCGGCATTTAAGATTTAACATGCAAAGTTCGGTTTGAAAAGAAGTATCAATACATTTGCTTCAATCTTTAAAAAAATATTTTTCTGCTTGTACATGCTTTTATTAACCATTATGATTATAAAAGTATACCCTTATTTTCTCCAGAAAGCGAAGAGTGCTAGCGTAAAGTTCAGGACATGATGGGGTGTCCAGGGAATTGTCAGCAGCAGGTCTGGTTTTTAAACTGAGTTCAAGGTTGAGGTTTTGAGATCTGAATGCTCTGAATGAGTCGTGTTCCTGGAAAATTTATCAAACCTTTGTCTCAACAAGTAGCCTACAACTTTTTCTATAAAAAAATTATCATTATTTCAAAAAATCTATTCATCTAATATGTTTTATTAGACAAGTATATAATTTAAAAAATGTTCTGTTTCAATTACAAATAACAAGTTCAATTTTTATTTGAAACAGACTATTCTAATAATAAAAATAACCTGCCTCTAAGGAGAAATCTGGCACTTTGTCAGGAGCACAAGGCATGACAGAATGGTGGTCGTTGGCATCACCTAGACAAAGCCACTCTATACCAACCCTAAAATAACAACAATACATATATACAATTCTGAATCTCATTTATTTACAAAGCAACTCTATACCAACCCTGAAATAACAACAATACATATACACAATTCTGAATCTCATTTATTTACAAAGCCACTCTATACCAACCCTAAAATAACAACAATACATATACAAAATTCTGAATCTCATTTGTTTACAAAGCAACTCTATACCAACCCTCAAAAATAACAATACATATACATTTTTTATTCCCATTTATTTACAAAGACACTCTATACCAACCCTAAAATAATGATACATATACAATTCTGAATCTCATTTATTTACAAAGCCACTCTATACCAACCCTATAAAACAATACATATAAAAATTTTGATTCTCATTTATTTTATTGAATCCATTTTTAAGAAATCTGTTTCGACGTTAAAAGTATTTCTTATATAATTTCTATGATACGACATAAAAAAAATAACAATTGAACAGAGCAACAAGAAGATTTTCTGACCTGAAAGTTAAGTTGGGCAGGTGTAGGAGTTTACTTTGGTTGTACTTGGATGCTGTACCCACAGAGATGTCCAGATCTCCCTGTAACACAAACTGACCTGGGGAAATAGTTGGAAATCATAGTCACACAACTATTGTTTGGTGGTAGGGATAGTTGGAAATCATAGTCACACAACTATTGTTTGGTGGTAGGGATAGTTGGAAATCATAGTCACACAACTATTGTTTGATGGTGGGGATAATTGGCAATTATAATCACATAACTAGTGTTTGAGGCTAGGAATAGTTGGAAATTATAGTCACACAACTATTGTTTAAGGGGGGGGGGGGGGAGGAGATATGGCCAAAAATCATAAAGCTGATAGTGTGAGAATAGTTGTTACACTTTAAAAATTATATGGGTTAAAAGTATTTTTTGAGTAAGGCATCCTTCTCTCCTAACCCCCCCCCTTTTTTTTTCCCCCACTACACTAATTCAATTCTCTGACTGACAGAGATTGGTAGGCCAGAAAAGATCATGGGGATGCTGTTGTATGTTTTTTTTTGTGGAAGAGAGAATGTGTTTTGTTTATACTGACTGCACTATACTGGACTTATAAAGCTTGGACTGAAATGAGAAAAATACCATTGGTCCAGTCCATGACTAAGTTGGTCCATGACCAGTCCATCAACTCAGTGTTGTTGTAGGGGTCAAAGGAGGCGTGGTACAGCCAGCTCATCTTGTTGATGGACCAGGTGAAGCGGCCGTGGAACAGGAGGCGCATCTTGTCCCAGAATGGCAGCGGCCTGCTGGGGTCAACTGACGGCCGATTGATGAGGTCCAGGCTGAGGTTAAACAAGGCCACGGCTGGCTCCCAGCACACACCGTAGGCCAGCGTCAGGGATGTCATGTCTGGAAAACAAAATGTCAGAGATGTCATGCATGGTAAAATGTCAGTGATGTCATGTCTGGATGTCTGGAAAACAAAATGTCAGAGATGTCATGCATGGTAAAATGTCAGTGATGACATGTCTGGATGTCTGGAAAACAAAATATCAGTGATGTCATGTCTGGAAAACAAAATGTCAAAGATGACACTTTGAAAACAAAATGTCAAAAATGTCATGTCTGGAAAAATATCAGAGATGTCATGTAATAATAACAAGGCAACAAAGTATTAATTTTTCAAATTGCCAATATTTATGTTGTACAAATTTCAATAAACACTTAACCAATCCTATTTGCCATAAAGGATTGTAATAGCCATGAAACCTTCACAACAAAGCAATACAAAAATGAGAGTACATGACCAGTGCCTAGAGACACAAACCAATAAGAGTTTGGTGAGTATTAAAATTACATTTCTAAAGTTTACTGTATTAGTATAAGCAGAATAATAAAAAACCAAACCCACCACAACTAAAGTCATGGAAAAATTTCAGTGGGGGAAGATTCCTCTCAACAGCCATGGTCTCCCAAGGTTTGTTTAGCTCCACTGTGCACACTCGCTTGGCTGAAAATAAGATTAGTTGCAATTTAAAAAATTTTTTTTTTCAACAACAAGACTGGCTCACAATCATTCGTCAAGAAAAATAAGTCACATTTAAAAAAAAAATTAAATTTATCTTTAAAAATGCATTAATAAATATCAACTGTGATGAATTACTGCCATTTATTTAATTGTATAAGACAATTTATCAGCTGTTTATTATACCATAAGGTACAGTGTAGTCATGTAGCAGTGTACAAAATTCTTAGCCCAAAATTCTGATAAAAATGTCCTTGAATCCACTCAGCTCTGATGGGTACCTGACTTGCAGTATGGAAAGTAATGCTGTCTGGGCATAAAAATGATCCCACACTATTCCTATATATGCAGAAGCTACAATAACAGATGGACTCTACTTCATCTAATGGGACAGCGTGGTCTAGCGGTAGAGAGCTGGACAGCTAACCCGTAAGCATCGAGTTTGAATCCGGGTTCAAGTCAGTAGACCGTCCCTGAGTCCAGCCAACTCTGATGGGTACCTAACTAAAGGTGGATGGGCATAGTGCTGACCACACTATCTCTTCATATGTTGAGGTCACAGAAACAAGTGAACTCTACTTCACTTGCCCCATAGACCGTCAGGTTTGAAAGGGAAACTTTACTTTACTTTACTAGTTCATCTGTCCCAGGGTAACTCAGTTGGCTTGTTGAGACATACCTCTTCTGAGCATACCTCTTCTGGTGCCATCTCTCTCAGCGCCAATGAGACACCCCCAGATGAACTCTACTTCAGCTGCCCCAGGGTAACTTAGCTAGCATGTTGAGACATACCTCTGCTGGTGCCATCTCTCTCAGCGCCAATGAGACACCCCAGATGGACTCTACTTCACCTGTCCCAGGGTAACTTAGTTAGCTTGTTGAGACATACCTCTTCTGGTGCCATCTCTCTCAGCGCCAATGAGACGCCCCCAGACGTGCTTGTTCTGTACGTCAATCATGGGGCGGGGGAAGTCACGCAGGGTGACTGACCAGATCTTAACACTGGCATTGACATAGCGACACCACAGAGTGACAAAGTCAATGGGCTCTTTTGGGAATGGGCTGAAATAAATAGTTTTAGGTTGGGATAATCAAAGGAAAATTGTTATTATTATTGACCCTATAATAGCAAAAGTGGGTTAACAGTGGGACATGGGTCAAGAGTGAGGTAGTTGGATCTACATTAAGACCAACGGTGATGTATAGTTGGGAAAGAAAATAATTTAGAAGTAAAAAAATCTACAAAGAACAAAGAAAAAATGTATGCTAATGATCACATTAATTATGGAGAAAAGCAAGGCAGGAGCCTATGGCTGTGCAAATAAGGAGGAAATGGCGCTGGGTGGGACACACACGCTTGAGTGGAACCCCCAGGGAAAGCGGAAGAGAGGGCGCCCAAGACAGACCTAGAGGCAGAGTCTTCTTGAAGAACGGAAGCCAACGGGGATGTCTTGGGAGATGGCAAAATTAATAGCTGGGGATTGGATGAAATAGAAGGAAATTGTTGAGGCCCTATGTTCCATAAGGAGCAAAGAGGACTAAGTCAAGTAAGTCAATGATCACATTACCATTACTTTAATTCTAAAAGTGAAAAATAACCTCACACATAGTTTTCTAAAACCAGACCTCCATTTCACAACAATGTTCACAACAAAGCTTTAAAATTTGGTTTTCTTTAGTATTTACATATATTTTGTTGTAAAGGTCACAGATTTTATAACCATGATACTTTGGTGTATTTGAATAAAATGGAGAATAAATCTCAGGAAATTTAATTAATGAATCTAGTCAGAATAGTCTAGTAACATGTCACTGCCACCAATAAACTTTCACACACAACAAGACAGGAACAGCCACAAAAAGTTACCCACCTCTCTTTGTCTATTTCTTGCATGTGTTTCAAGACGTTCTCCTTCCCATGGAATGAGATGTCGGCCAGCGCAGTGATATGCAAATCTTCCATCAGCCATGTAAAAAGCTGCGTCCTGATTGGCTCGGCTTTGTACAGCTGCTGAGAACGCTGGATGTAGATCTCAGAGTCCTTCTTGTAAAGGCTTGCATACAACTCTTCGCGCTTGTTGACTGTAGGAGGTGGGTGGGTGTGGAGAGAATTTATAATTATTTATCTTAGATGTTAGGGAAAGTAAAGGCGGCTGGGCATAGTGCTGACGACATTTGCCGAGGTGAAGAAACATTTGAACTCCACTTCATCTGCCCAATGGATTGTTAGGTCTAAAGAGGAATCTTTTTTTTAAAGTTAGACATGAGATGGGTTATGGGGGAGCAGGACATTACCCCTCCTGACATTAAACCTCCCCCCCCTCCTCCTCCCCTGTTTGATATCTAACTGACAGTATACTGAAGCAAGGTAGGTTAAAAAATAAGTTGGGTGATGGCTAAATTTAGGAGAAATCATAAGGATAGAATAGGTTTAGGGTTAAGGATAGGGAGATAAATATGGATAGGTGTAAGTCTAGTATGTATTCGCAAAGGGTGAGGGGGCGGGATTATTAACAAGGGGGGGGGGGGGTGATAATTGAGAGGGGATGGGGTGGGGGGGGATTTCCTATATCTGGGTGTGGTTGACAACAGCTTTGGGCTTGTCCATCAATGACATAATAAGGGTTGGGATGGTTCTGACAGGTGATATATAAGGAGGAATGGGGGGTGAGGAGAAAGAATCTCACCTTTTGTGATGATGTGGGTAAAACATTCGCTAAAAACTGTGATACAATTACTAACACAATTATTGAAGTGGCTGTGTGATGATTCACCAGCTTACCAGGCATAAACTGTGTGATGATTCACCAGCTTACCAGGTATAAACTGTTAACTGTGAGACAATTACTAACACAGTTATTGAAGTGGCTGTGTGATGATTCACCAGCTTACCAGGTATAAACTGTTTCTTCTGTAGCTCTGACAGCTTGGCATCTAGGACTTCTCTTCTTTTCTTGCTCTCTATGCCTTCGTCTTTAAGTAGCTGTGGGAGATGACATGACATTTAGCTGAGTGAGATGACATGACATTTAGCTGAGTGAGATGACATGACATTTAGCTGTGTGAGATGACATGACATTTAGCCGTGTGAGATGACATGACATTTAGCTGAGTGAGAAGACAGGACATTTAAGTAGCTGAAATCTTACTTTATCTATAGAGCTAATCTTATTTTATCTATAGAGCTAATCTTACTTTATCTATAGAGCTAATCTTACTTTATCTATAGAGCTAATCTTATTTTATCTATAGAGCTAATCTTATTTTATCTATAGAGCTAATCTTACTTTATCTATAGAGCTAATCTTACTTTATCTATAGAGCTAATCTTACTTTATCTATAGAGCTAATCTTACATTATCTATAGAGCTAATCTTATTTAATCTATAGAGCTAATCTTACTTTATCTATAGAGCTAATCTTACTTTATCTATAGAGCTAATCTTACTTTATCTATAGAGCTAATCTTACTTATCTATAGAGCTAATCTTACTTTATCTATAGAGCTAATCTTACTTTATCTATAGAGCTAATCTTACTTTATCTATAGAGCGTATCTTCTTTTGTGTAATTAAAACACTAAGCAGTACTCAACAAAGGCTTGTAAGACAACTTGGCTTACCTCATAATTAAGAGACATTTTGACTTCAAAAGGATCATCACTTAATTCTATAGACAGTAACTGTGAAATAGACAGGTTAATTTTTTTTTTAGAAAATGTAGAAAAAAGTCTAAAAAAATATAATTTAGTCAGTAGTAATATTTTAACACAAAATAACAATAATAAAACTAACAAAAATTAAAACATGAAATTTTGTAGCAATAAGATATTTGGTAGTCTCAAGTGGGTTTGCATGAATACTTCATTGTTCAACATGTAAAAAAGTAGAGTTCACTTTTCGAACCTGATGGTGAATGGGGCAAGTGAAGTAGAGTTTACATGTGTATTTGATCTCAGCATATGAAAGGATAGAGTTGTAAGCACTATGCCCAGTAGCTTTTACTTTCCCCAAGGTGAGTTAGGTACCCATTAGAGATGCAAACTCAGGGACATTCTACTGAATTGAATCAAAACTTCCAGGTTAGCAGTCTAGTGCTTGAACATGTGCTTGTAAAAATGAATGAGGTTCTATGGGCTATATCAGAGGCGTAGCGACCCTTCCCCTCAAGATTTCGATTTGCACCCCCCCCCCCCATCAAACTTTCGATTTGCACCCCCCTCAACCTTTCAATTTATTTTTCCAACCCATTTTGGCGCCCCCCTAAGGTCGGCGCCCGGGGACATACGTCGCCCCCCCCCCCTCGCTACGCTACTGGGCTATATTATTCCTCTGATCAAATTATCATGGTAAAAAGGGCAATGAATTTTTTTGATGTCTTACTTTGATTTTAATGGTGAGATCAGGTGGTAGGGGACTATCAACAGTGAATGGTTTTCTCTTCATTTTATGAACAAGTTTCAGCCATTTCACAGCATTCAACACCTGGAGAAATTTTTGTTGTTAATAAGTGGATACATTTGTTGTTATAGGACATTAGCTTTATGCACTTATGCTGCATTTATATTATACCTTACATGCTAAATTTATCAGAACTAATGGTAAAATAACAATCTATATAGTTTAGTAATTGCTTTGTTTTCCCTAAATTTGGTAAAAAAAAGATTGTTCACATGATCACTCTAGTTAGGTTTTTAATATCCCAACACAGGACTTGTTAAATCTTTGTTTACTACTTTAAAAAAAAATAGATTGTTTTATGATCACTCAAATTAAATTTTTATTATTCCAACATAAGTTACAAGTTTTGATCATTGTAACAACTTTAAAAAAAATGGATTGTTCAACAATTGTTCACTCAGGCCTACATTTTAAAATAACAGAACAGCTAGTGCTAGGGAACAGCAACATACCTCTTCATAGCAATCAGCAAAGTTGTACTTGTGTGGAAACAAAATATCAATACTCTCAAAAGTTATTCCCCTTATGAAAAAAGGAGAAAGAAAAAAAAAACAATTATTTGAATCAAACTAAAATTTGAATTTGGAGTTACATTTTTTATATAAAATTTATATTTTTTTTTATTCTTAAAAAAGTGGAAGTTGACAAAAACATAGCATAAAACTATGGTATTCAAAAGAGAGAAACTGTGGGTGTAGGAAGGACAATCGATTTATTATTTGTTCTTAAACAAAAAAGTTAAGACACCAACCAAGTTTTATTGGTGGGGTTCTGTAAGGGGGTTTAATTACTTGTTCTAAAACTGAAGAGTTAGACATTAACCATGTTTTGTTGGTGGGGATTTGTAAGGGAGTTAATTATTTATTCCTAAACTGAAGAGTTAGACACTAACCATGCTTTGTTGGTGGGGTTCTGTATAGGGGTTAATTATTTGTTCCTAAACTGAAGAGATAAGACACTAACCATGCTTTGTTGATGGGGTTTTGTAAGGGGGTTAATTATTTGTTCCTAAACTGAAGAGTTAGACACTAACCATGCTTTGTTGGTGGGGTTCTGTAAGGGGGTTAATTATTTGTTCTAAAACTGAAGAGGTAGACACTAACCATGCTTTGTTGGTGGGGTTCTGTAATATCTTGGCTCTCTCTCTTTCAGCTTTCAGATGGGATACTGGTAGAACTTCTAGTTGGAAGCCCTAGGGGTAAAGAAAGGAAATAATTTTTAATATCTACAATATTCTTTTTAATGAGACTTAAATTCACTGAACTTTATATGGCAGTATTGATATAAGATTTTGATTCAAACTAAGCCACATGTCCATGTTTTTATGATGGATGCTCACCCCAATATTAAAAATGTTGTGTCCATCACATTTAATTTGGAAATTTTTAACCTCCATCAGGATATCAGGCAAGGTCATGGTCAATAAAAGATTTTGAGTATGGATGCTCAGCCTAAAAAAATTAAAAATAAAATATAAAATATGCAATAAGAGGACTGTAGTGAATGAGTGAAGGGGGATGTATCGGGGTGAATGTTGTTTGTACTTTGTACCCTGTTCGTTCGTCCCTGTTCAGTCCTTGTGTTGTTAGTTGTGACAGTCCGGTTTGTACCTGTTTTCTGTAAGGGTATATAAGGTGTGTGAGAACATGTGTGACTGCCTCAGTTTCATCCAGATCTCACCCAAGGTTAGGTCGACTATTAGTTAGCCACTGTATCGTAGTTTTTGTACTAGCTGCTGTATTTTTTTTAGAATAGACTCTTTTAGGTTTTAACAAGTCGTTTGTTTCATTCAGTCTATTTATGTAACCTGTTTGTGGTTGTTTGTCTTATATGTTGCACTAGCATTAGATCACCCATAAGGTGTATCCATGTGTTCACAACAAGGAAATTAAAATAAATCCTGCCATTTTTACTCATGCAGTTAAGTTATAAACAATGTTCTTATAAAAAAAACAAGTTGTGTCTAAAAGTTTAATTTTACAAAAAAAAAGTTTTATCCATGAAATTATTCATGCAGAAAGCTCTCGCCAAAAATAAAGTTGTAAAAAAATTGACACTTAACATCTAACAAAGCTAAAGTTTTAAAAAGTTGTAGAAATAGACCATTCATAATCCTACTCACAAGTGTTGGCTGGATAGTTTAGCCTCCAGATTGATTTCAGCTAGAACCAACACATTGATGGAAACAGAGGATTTTTTAGGACTTTCAATGCTGGTGGGAATATTTGCAGGCAACAAAGAACTTTCTGGAACAAACAGAAATCTTAAGGTCAGGCAAATAATAATCAGACTGAGATATAACTTCAGTGTTTTAATAAATACATTTTTGTAAATAAACTGATCACAGGCTGTATGCAATAACACAGCAAGCAGAGGTAGAATTCATCTATTATTGTAACCAGCACAACCCCCCCTTCATGTCAGGTACACCAGAGATTGTGATTGAAATTAACCTACTAAAAATGGATATCAAGACTAACCTAGATGTGTGGTATTAATTCAATAAGTTCATGGGTGCAAGAATTTACTCAAATTGTGACACTAAATTTAAGAAAAAAAACCTAGTCCCTATAAGAGTTATATTTAAAAGAATGATAAATGAGATCAGCAAAAGAACATCAATGTATTTTTATTTAAAAAAACATAATCTAGATATCACATGTCAGCTTATGCTGAGAAAAGTTATAATTTAGATACCCACGAGGGGGTCGGCGTGGTCGAGTCGGTAAAGCTCATGGTTGCTAAACCGAAAAGTCTCGAGTTCGAACCCTCGGGCAGATGAGGCTCGTTAGCTGGGGACAGCCACTCTTCTAGGAGAGACAACTCCAAAATTAAAACAACTGCTGCCTTGTAGTTTGTTCTTGGTTGGACAAAGGCTATGGAAGCAAATCCAAAAAGAAAAGCAGGCTGAAATCGGAGTCAATGGCCTCAATGGCGCATAAACAGTTGACACGTAACGCTTAATTGTGTTGGAGGTGTGGTCAAGTCGGCAAAAAGCTCATGGTTGATAAAATCGAACAAAGTCTCGAGTTCAAACGCACTGGCAGATAAATCTCGATCCCCTTCAACACTAATAATTAAGAACGAAGAAGAAGAAGAAGATACCCACGTCTTATGGCTAATGAAGGGAAGTAACCATAAAGCTATGGCTGGTGAAGGAAAGGAATTAATTATGTTTTTATAAAAAAAAAAAATCAACTGAATGACAGTAGGATAAAATCTAGTTACAATTGTAATGATAAATTAGATTTCACATTATAGTATTGTTGAATATTTGTACTACTTTTATTTAAGTAATCAAGAAACATGAAGGAACTGGATGTGGTCAATTAAATCACCTCCTTCAGCACCAAAAAAGTTTGCCTGCAGAGACTTGGCTTCTTGGACACCCTCCACAAGACACTTGTGGACTTCAGCTGTCCACTGGATGGTCAAGTGTTGTAGGATATGGACTCGACACTCCTGTCAACAGTGTGAGAATTTAAAATACTTACAGCACCTGTCTTACCATGGCGTTCATACAAAAATTATAAAGAACTTTTGCTTATATTGTGTTAAATAAACTGTTGCCATGTAGTTTAATTGGTAGGATAAATAATTCAACTTTAAAAAATGGATAAAAAATGGATAAAAAATCCCAGTAATGATCTTATTGGTAATGGTATTTAGAACAACTGTAGGACTACTCTGCCCCCCTAGCTGTGATAGTTTATATAAGGAAAAATTGACCCAGCAAGATATTGTACTTGCAACACATTATCTCAACATTTAATCAGACCTAGAGAGGGTAAATGGACCAGAGTAGGTAAAGATTACTATATTTTGTCCAACAGTTAGAGTTAAAATCAAGGATTTGAATCTAAAATTGCCACAAAAAGCCTGAGTTGGCAATTGTATAAAGTACCCCTGGAGTAATCTCCCTATATAGCTGGGGTTATCTCCCTGTCTGAGTTGAAAATGAGTGATAAATCGCTTACCTTGTTTGAAGGAGTGTGTTTGATTTTAACTTGATGAATATGAACAACAGGTTTATGAATTTCATTTGATCGATGAAGGGGAATGAACTGAAAGCAAGGAGAAATACAAGTGCATTGTAATTTAGAGTTACAATGACAGCTTCCTTGTGTAGACTTTTGTTTTCATATTTTAAGATCAAAAAGAAAATATTTTAAAAAATAATGAGTAAATGAATATGTCTAGAATCATGTAATATAAATATTGCAAAAACAAAATCTATTACTTATAAGGTGCCTACTTTAGACTAGAATCTACCACAGCAAAAGAAACATTTACTTTAAAATAGAACCAATCACAGATGGAGCACTTACTTGTAAACTATCACAGATGATATATTGCACTTTGGTACCATCGACAGACAAACTGGTTTGCGTTATGTTATGACTAGCAGCCACCTTGTCAACACGCATCATCACACACACTGAAACATGGTGTAAACACAACCTTAGGTAAAGTACGTAAAAATAAAATAAATAAAAATGTTTTATGCTGTGTGCTTGATACATTTTCTTATCAACACGCATCACCACACACACTGAAACATGGTGTAAACACAACCTTAGGTCAAGTACTTAAGAAAAATAAAATAAATAAAAATGTTTTATGCTGTGTGCTTGATACATTTTCTTGATATTTTTTCTTCTGGTAGATGACTTTGTTTCGTAATTATTTAAAAAATTATCACAATAATAAATCGATAATAGAGTGGATTGTTAAAAAGATGAAATGATACTTTCTTATAAAAACAACAAAAGTTAAAAAAAGGCAAAATGAAGTCTTACCTCCGACAGTATTGCTAATAAATATATTTATATTGGAAACATCAAACTTAAAAATATGGATCAAAGAATTCTTGGACAAGGGCTTGACAACAGTCTCTTCTCTCTTTGGATACTGCACCCTGGGCTGTGCTCTGAGAAGGAGTGGCCTTGACCTCCTGAAGGCACCTAACAAATTGTTGAGCACCGTGTACAAGTTTGAGGACCACTCAATCTGGAGGTTGTCCTTCATGCCTTCTATCTTCAGGTCGTTACCAAATTTTTTCACCTGAAACAAATTATTTTCAAATCCTTAATTATTTTATTTTCTGGGTAAAGAAACAAACTTTTCAATATCCAATTTTTAAAAATAATGATTTAATGACTTCTCAATTTATGCATCTTAAAATTATTTCCACAATAAAAGCCCAACATAAATATTTTGTAATGCATGTGATTTATATAACGTTACTGACAAAAAAAAAATTAACAACCTACAATACACTGCAAGAGATGAATAAAAATGAAAATTCTAACAATCTGCAGTTTTCAAACAATTAACACTAAAGAATGACTGATTAAGGGTTAATTAAATCTAGTCATAAAATTTACAATCTAGCTAACAACCATAAAAATAGATTAAAAAAACAATGACAGGGCAAACAATAACATTTTATAACTAGAGAAACTAGAGTGAAAAAAATGTCACTGTCATTGACTTTCAACATTACTTAAGCTAATTAGAATAATAAGAAACTAAAATTTAATTACAACAGGCCTGACCTTCATCAGCAGAATGCCAAGATACAGCACAAGACCCCAGTAATGTTTTTTGCCCCCCAGCTGCTCGCTGGACAGTTTAGCATCGACCAAGCAGCATGAAACATTTTGGATATCAACTTCACAGGATGCATTGTAGGCACTGAACCAGTCACGATTGTCTACCACTGAAACAAAACAATGTGGATAGATATCAACTTCACAAGATGCATTGTAGGCACTGAACCAGTCACGATTGTCTACCACTGAAACAAAACAATGTGGATAGATATCAACTTCACAAGATGCATTGTAGGCACTGAACCAGTCACGATTGTCTACCACTGAAACAATGTGGATAGGAACTTAAAAAACGAGTTGGTAATAATAAAACATTTAGGCCAATGAACAAGGAAACATTTTGGGTATCAACTTCACAGGATGTGTTGTAATTGTAGGCATGAATTGGTAATAATAAAACATTTAGGCCAATGAACAAGGAAACATTTTGGGTATCCAGTTAACATGTTTGTCTGCAACAAAAACAAAGAAGGGAGACCACTATACAATTTACAACCTCAAGATTTCCTACAACTAGCTTCATTCTTACATCTTGGCTGTATGGCAAACATTTAGAGGTAATTAAGGTAAATATTATTTTTGTTTTTTTAATTTAATTTATTCCTCAAAATAAAATTTATGAAGAACTAGTTCAATATGATTATCTGTACTAAAAGAATAACAATAAAAATAGATGATAAATGGAAACATATTTTGACCATTGGGAACAATAATTAATGGATAATGATTGTAAACACATTTAGATTATTGGGAATACAACTCTAGTACAAGTTAGGTGGATATAGCATTAATTCCCCCCCCCCCCCAAAAAAAAAACATAAACAACTACATATCTAAGTTGTTAGATTACCTCCCCCTCCTGGCTTTATGACGCCATTAAACCTTGCATGGGCCAGCTGGGTGTGAAGACCATTGCAGGTGGCTGTGGATATTGTGGATGACATATCCGTCACCTCAACGACAGTGGAAAAATTTTTGCCTTCCATCCAGACTAACAGGGTAGGGCTGTAATTTTATTTTTAATTTCAACAATTTAGAAATAGTTACTGGAGACTTTCAATTTAAGTTTTATTTAAAACAGAACTATAATCAGGCTCATATTTGGTTTTAAAGTTGTATTAATTCAAAAAAATAAATACATTTTTTAAAATGTTTTTTTATAGTTTTGTTTTAAAAATGGTATAGTTTTTTAAGCTATTTCAAACTCTTAGACACAAATATTTAATAATTAAACTCATGAGATTTTAATATGGTAAAAGTGTTTCTTTTAAAATTGGCTGAATTATTGTTACAAAAATGTTGTTGTCTGCTAATGAAAAAATGGTACACTTAAGTACATTTTTTACACTACAAACCTTGGGATGGACTTCTTCTTTTTGAGCTTCGGATGCTGGTGTGGGTGGTGAGCTTGCTGCCACCTGAATATGTTTGTAAACACAGAAACCCAGTATTGCACTTCTTCGTGGTGGTAGTGGAAAAATCCTGAACTTATGGACAGGAATGTGTCCAGTGAATCCTGCAGTAGCTGTGAATGTTTAATGATAAAAGTGTTTAGTTTTTTGTTTCAATTTGTTAAATCTATGACAACAATGGCAATATAAACAGAAAGTGATGTTTTAACGCTAAGGGTAGACAAAGGTACAGAATATAGTCCAAGTAAATACAGAACAGTCAGAACTCAATGGGTACCTTAGCATTGAAATATCACTTTCTGTTTATATTGCTATTTCAGTTACAATGCTTGCTTCCACCCCCCTACATGACAACAATGGCAGAATAGAGATTTTTGTTTAACACATGGGGCAAAAATGATGTATGTGTGTGGTGTGCTTAAGTTTAAGTGATAAGTTTATAGTAGGTGGGAAAGTTTTTAATAAATAGCATTGACAAATTTAATAAGATAATGTAGAGATGCATTTGAGTTTCATTTAAATTTTAAAAAAAAACCCTTTTGATATAAGTAAGATAAACAGGAAAATTGAAAAAAAAAATAATAATAATGTTATGTCATGTATACCACTTCCTTTAATCATCGATTTTACTTTGAAATTTACAATTTACATTACAATGTACTGACATAAAAATAAGTACTGTAACTTCCATTCACACATACACATAGCAGTTTCTTAAAGATGATTACCTGTCCTTTGATAACAATTTTATTAAGGCCAGCAAATTTGGCTTGCATTGAACTAGTATTGAACTCTAGAGGGACAAAAGGAAAATGATTCAATAAAGTATGACCAGTTATAATTGCAATATTACAGAGTAACAAAAAGAGATGTAAGTATCAAGGTCTAGGACATATCCCCCCCCCCCCCCAGATCCATTTAATCATTTTGAGAATACATATAATTATACCTATCCCTCATCCTATTAGGTACAGGGTCAATTAGCAATCAACCCAGAAGTAGGTTATGTCCTACTGTAGTTTAATTTTTGGAGGGGGGGGGGGGGGAATGACAAGGGGCATTATCCTTCTACACTTTATGCCAAATATTTTAATATTATACAAAAGAATGTACTTAAATATGTAGTGTTATGAGTATTTCCCCTTAAAATTGTACAAGCATTTACCTTCTAAATACACATTACAGTTGATATCTGTGGCTTGCCAGAATGACTGATTATGAAAGCCTAAGTGAAACAGCCTAAGGGACACTGATAAGCTTCTGTAAACATTTCAAATATTTAAAAAATTACTACTAAAATTACAATTCTCGTAATATCTGTTACAAAATTATTATTTTGTAAATTGACATGTTTAACATGCTGATACTAAACTAGTAGTAGCAGTTTAAAATATATTTTTCTTTTACAAATTATTGCGTTTCTTAAAAAATATATATAGATAAACTATAAAGTGTTTACCTCTGCAGTTTAAAATATAATTTTCTTTTACAAATTATTGCGTTTCTTTAAAAAATATGTAGATAAACTATAAAATGTTTACCTCTGCTTAGTTTCTCTAACTATCTTAACATCTAAGTCTGATATGTCAAAACTGATATCTTGCTGAAAATAAAGTTAATTCACCTTTATTATGTTCATAAAAAAAAAAATTTTTTAGTGGTTTATTCTAAGAAATTAATGTGGATTTATGATACATTTTATGATACATTTTGCAAAGTTTTACAAAAAAAAAAAATACTTTCAATTAAAAAATTATAAAAATTTTCCAAAAAAAAAACTTAAACATAAACTCTACTACTGTGTTTGCATACTTAAGTATTCTATCCTTACCACTTTTTCAAAAATTTTGAGCGTTGAAAACATCTTGTCGTTAGGCCACTGGACATAATTGCTGTCTGAATCCTCTGGCTGGTGCAACGGAGCCGCTGAGCCATCATCTGACACCTGGTGCTCTACAAGACTGAGTCGCCTGGTGTTTATCATTTGTAGGCTCTGCAGAAATCCTGGGAGATTCATTTTAAAAATAAATATTAAATATATGAGTAAAAATGAATATTTAATATGACGTCATTTTCTTATTGAAAATAGCTTAGTAAAAATATTTTTTTTTACATTTGAGACTGGTGGTGTAGACAATATCTGTGGGTGGGGAGGGGGTTAAAAAGATTGTTATACTACTAAAATAGCTTTCATGCAGACAGAAGTACCAAAGAAATTAAACATGCTACCTTCAGTTATTGTCATTTGTGGTTTGGCTATCACAGTTCTCAGTACCTGTACACATAAAGATAAATATAATTGTGTGGCTAATCATTAAACATGATAAAAAATAAGTAAAGAAATTTAAAAAATACTTTTAGAAATTAAGAAAGTTTACATTAGCAGGCATAGATTATTATTCTCCATTCATTCTTGAGAGAAAATTAACAAAACTAAGACCTCGTTTTCGTCACCACTCTTATGTTATTTCTCAAAGTTGATAGGTTCCATGTCTTCAAAAATCCTAAAAAAAAATACCTTAACTTTATAGACACATAGGTTAAAACACAGAAAAGAAAATACTGACTACAAGTTTTCCAGGGTCTAATTTATCTACTTTAGCTTCCATCTTGAATGTAAAAGAAAACTCCCCAAGGCAATTCTGCTGCGGATGCTGCTGTCAAAAGATTAAAAAAACTTGTGAAAATACAAAATCTTCACAGCAAATTATTAGAAAAAAAATCACAAATTATAAGTGAATACATATGAAAACTAGGTTGAACATATAACTAATGAAATTTGATATAAGTCAAAATTTGAATAATGTATCTTATCTTGTTTTATGCTTCTAGTAAAATTTCCATTAAAATGTGATTTTGCTGAAACTGTTACAAGCTGATGAGGGTTTAATCTCTGGTACAGTTGCATTTTTAAAAACTTACCACTGTTTCAGGAGAAGAGCGTAGAGCTTTACATCCCAAGTTGTTTAAATTTATACACATTTCATACCTATGGATTAAGTATTTGAAATCTTACAATAAAGATATGCATAAAACTGTAAGATACATGTGTCTGTTTTCTGTAATATTTGTTTAATGAACTCAAGCTTCAACAGTTAAAAGAATGTAACATTTAATCTTTCATATATAATAATATTTTTATGAAAATGTTCAGATTTACTTTAATTTAAACAATTATATAAAAAATTTAAGATAAAGATGAACGAAGCAAAAAGTTACTTGTCATAAGCTGCTGTAATATCTAAGGAGATTTCTGGGCTAGTGAAGTGGATCAGACAGTCCGGTACCATGGTCTTTAACAGCATCACAGTCATGTTATTGATACGCAACCCAACATACTGGGGGAAAATATGTTATTAAACTTTAATTATTAACACAGTGATAAAAAACTCAAAAAAAAAAAAAAAAAAAAAAAAACAACCCCCAGAGACTGGTAAAAAGCAAGTTTGCAAGTTTCAATAAAATAATAAATTTAATAAAACATGTTCTGATTTTATATTCAACTGCATGCCCCTAAATTATAGCAAAGTGGACACAAATTTAGTTTTATTTTGCAAAATGAAATCAATATACAATTTATACAAATATTTTCTCTCTATATATAATCAAACACCATCTAGTCTTACTGCCACGGCAACAAATTTACTGTTGTTTTGTAATCTTTGCACTGTATTGGGGTGATTAAAAGATTACCGAGCCGAGGGACAAAATTTTATTCAGGCGCTGTGTTAGTGGCAGGCCTTGTTGTGGGTGGGGTCTCAAGGGCTGAGCCTCCAGCTGCTCAGTTCTATGGTTGTTGACATCCACCTGGATCCTTAGATCTTCTATACACAGCACCAATGGTTTTCTGAGAGGAAAAGGTATAAGTAATAATATAGATAGATTAGTGAACCAAAAACCTGACTTTAATAATAATAATAACTTTCAAGGTATCTGTGCTTTAAATTGATGCAATAAAAACTCCAAACAAGGGAATGAATTTAAAGTAAAACAAATAATTTTAAATTTTTGAACCTGACGGTCCTTGGGCAGGTAGTGAAGTAGAGTTCGCCTGTTTTTGTGACCTTGGCATATAAAGGGATAGTTTGGTCAGCACTATGCCCAGCCGCCTTTATTTTCCCCAACATATGTTACCCATCACAGCTGGGTGGACTTTTACTGACTTGATCCCAGAGTCAAACTCAAGATTTTCAGGTTAGCAGTCAAACACTCTACCGCTAGACAATGCCGGCATAAATTTTCACTTTCAAAATCAATAATGCAAAAACATACCTGACATCTGGATTTACAAATGAACTAGATAGCCAGATATTCTCCAGTTCCTGGAACATAAAATCAATTAGTAAACATTACTGTGTGCTTCTTAAATAATATGTTTATATTAATTTGATATATTTAATCCAAACCATCTACTCAAAGGACACTTGAATATTTTAGCAATTTTAATTAACATTTGTGATTATAAAAAAATTTGAATAGAATTATTTTAATGTCTATAGTATTAACACTTTAAAAAGGCTAGAATATTACATTTAAAAAAATGTTTTGAGTTTTACTTTTTTAATTTTATAAAATGTAATCCTACTCAGAAAAGAAAAGCAAAGATCCATATCTGCCAATTCACAAAATACCATTCTAATTATTTAGCAATCTTTTAGATAAGATTTATTTTATTTTTCTGATGAATAAACAAAAAACATTGACTTGCTATATTTCCACAGAATAAAATTTTTAAAAAGTTGCATCTTCCAACACTTAATTTAAAAGCAACTAATGCACATGATTACAGTAAGCCTATCATGCTTAGCAGCTCTATGAAACTTACCACATGCACTGAGACCTCAGAATGAACTTGAACAGTAATTTGAACCTTTCCATAGTTAAAAAAGCCAATCCGCCCAATTCTCAAATGAATGTGATATCGTTTTAAAAGCCATTGTATAATGTATGCAACAGCCCTGAAAAAAACCCAATAATTTTTATTACACAAACATTACACTGGTATCTGCAAGACGTAAAAGAAATGCTATATTTTTTGCAGGTAAGTTTTTCTTCTGTCACTAAAGCTGTTAGGAATAGGGTCAATGTCAGTATGAGGTTAGAAATACCAGCGAAGTATAGGTTTGATTGACAGTGTTAAAGAAGCAGCAGCTCTGTTTTATTTCTAATGACAAAAGGTATAACAAATAGGTTGGACTCTTGTAGCCTTCCATTAAAAATGAGCTATCCCCCCCACACACACACTAACTGTAAGAAACAAGGGTGATAATTCGTGGGGCTACTGTTTCCAACTTAACACCTTAACTCTAAAAAACCCACAAAACAGACATAAAATAAGAAAGCTATGGAATGCTTGCACTGAAGGGATTGTGTAATTATAAAAGAGTCGACAAAATAGTCTTTAAAGAAAACATTAGATGGTACATTGAAGCAATCTTTTTTGCTCACAGTTCTATCCCAACCCTAGATCTCACCCTGACCGTATTAGTATTAGCCATTCTAGCCGAAAACAAAACTGTATTGTTATGCCATAATTTTAGAATAAATAAAAATACAATAAAACAATTATGTCCTACTAAGAATAAGCCCCTAAATGATTTTGGAAAGGTGAAATGAGTAAAATTCCTGAACTGGTATGTTTTATTTCCTATTTACTACTTTACTTTTCTAATACACTATTTCTGAATATATATGGTAAAGCCACTTTAACTTGTAACAGAAGAATCAACAAGATTTATCTTGTGTGATGAAAAGCAAAAAAAGGGTAAACTTTTTATCATTACTTTTTGGAATAGCTTGAATTATATACTATTATATTATACTATAGTATATACGGCCTATGTACTAGAACAGAAGTTCATTAGGGGTATTTTTTGTTATTTAGAACAGCTGGACAAATCATTAAATATGACAACACTACACAAAATAAGTGATTTTATATTATTAAAACTCTAAAACTTCTTAACTCGAAAGTCTAAAAACTGATGGTAGTGCAAAATGTCTTGGTGTGTAATTGGGGAGGGGGGGGTGGCTTATCTTAAAATGTTATATAATCAGGGGGCAATGGGCTAAGGACCAGGGTTATATTATACTTATAGATCGCCTTTTGTAATATGTTTCTGAAGTTAACAGTTTTTAAATATTTTTTTGCCCCTCCCACTTTTGAAAAATGAAGTAATTTCAATTTGGCTTACAGGCGTAATGAATGTCATCTTAAAATAGTAAAATAGGTTTAGTAGGCCTAATCAAACCATACATTCTGTTTCTTAAAAAAAAAAACGTTAAGATTGTTTGCTTACTACAAAAGGAAAACTGACTCAACATCGGCATTTTTATCTAAATAAATAATACGGTAAATAAAACTGATTCAACTTTCGATTTCATTCTTCCTGGTTACTAAAAATATAAATAATTATTTCTTTTCCCCCTGTGATCAGAAGTAAACTCGTGTAAAGGTACCTGTTTAAAGCCCAGAATCCAATAAGTATATAAATAATTATCAAAATTATTTGCGACATTGTAAAATCAATCAGTAAGCCCTTTAGTTAAAAACAACATTTTAAAGATAGTTTAAAGGTGCAGTTTTATATTTGACAGCAGCGGATGGCACTCGTTGTCTGCCATGTTGATACAATTTTATTTAGGTCATTCTACACGTGACTTGAATTGACCAATCAAAAAGAAGTTGATCCATCGAGGCGCCATTATAGTAGCCATATTATTGTGAGAACTCCAATTCCACGATGGACGAACGATAATTATTGAGATTTTGTCTTAGGATTTAATTATATAATTCACTTGGATATAATTTAGGTTCAAAATAATATGGAGTGACTATGAGTCACCCAAATCCGTCTGGAAACGGCTGTTCCTTGGAGGATTGCCTCACAAATCTATTTGCTTTGGTGAGTGAAAGATTTTTTTGACAAATTTTAACCAAAACTTGCTGTCGTGAGACAAGAATCAGCTTAAATTGTATGGGGGGTTGTTGATCTTAAACTGGATATTTTTGTTTTTTATGTTTTGGTATGAAATGGTTTACATTTCATACAATTTCACTCTTTACAATCTTACTTTGTAAATATTTAAAACAGTTTTGTCGTGTATTGTACAACATTGGATGGGGAAGTAGGGGGGGGGGGGGGGGGTAGGTCGGTCAAGGCATGTTTTGAAATCAATAGGCTTACACAGTTACCTACAACCACCAGAAATAATTAACACTCGAATAGGGCCATGTATTATTATGTTAATATTTAGATCTTAATACTAGAATAACAACACATGACCCTTGTTTACACTCTTAACCAAATCAAAACTGTTTTTTTTTTAGATTCTAGAATGTAGGCTTCAGTTTTGTCAAAACTGATATTTTAACTTGAATCCTTTTCAACCACATGATTAACCACATCTATTGTAGGCTGGGGCAGATCTATATAGATCTAGAACCTATATATGATTTGGTCAGTGTGGTTTTTGACTCATTTCCTCAAAAATTTAGATTGGCCTCGATATTGTTGTACGAATCTAGATCTAGATCATACCAATTAATTATTAAGTAGGGCACTCATTAATTTTATTTTAGTCATTTGGCTTCTAGAGTCTCTATTGAATATAATGTCTAGATTTCGATACCATGAATAAACAGCAGTGTTTACAAGGCAGTGACTGACTCACAAATGTAATCATGACTATTGAATCGAATAATCTTGCGATTCATTTTCTAAGTAAATGCATCATAAAATAATAGGTCTGTGTTAGGTTAGGAATAATCGTTCAACTTTTTTTTTAAGAGTTAGAAAATATTTTTATGCCTTATGAATGGTTGATTTTTATATACAAATTATAAAAATATAACTACAAATATGTCAATAACAATATGTTGTGGTCAATTTATTAGCAATGTTTTGTTAATGCACATTCTTTGTTTAAAATTGGTAATATTAAGAAAGCAATATGGATATTTTAAAAATTGCTTATTTTTAAAAAGCAATTGTAACCAATGATGAGCAGGTATTATTTCAATAAAAACTGATATTTCAGTTACTGAAAATTATTTGGCCATTGTGATCAATTTTGATGTAACTGCATTGAATGAACTATTTACCTGAAATGTTTTTATTTCTAAGGCTGCATCCATAATGTTTTAAAATTATCCATTGATAAATATATTTAAATATTTCAGACTGATTTGTGTGGCATAAAGTGGCGTCGCTTGACCTCAGAACCTACAAACTATGAGCTTTTGGATGATCCAGTTTTAGTAGGGTTTTCCCGCTGTATTAAGAATGACATACTGTGTGTTTGGCGCAGAGTGCAGCGGGATCCAGAGCAGCGCCAGCCGGATTTCAACAGTTGCAAAGAGTTGTGGATTTTTTGGTATGGGGAGGAGCCTGAATCTCTAAGACAGGCTACATCTGATTTATGCCTGAAAGGTAAATAGTTAACTTACAATTAAGTTATTATTTTTTATTTCTAAATTGTAGTACCTTGTTGTTTCTTTGTAAACTTTACTGTTAAGTAGTTTTTGTATATATTTAATGAAATGTTCTAGTTTTATTTCTTGGATTATGACATATATGCATAAGCACACTGGTATTTGATATATTTTTTTTTTTTTTAATTTGTACCCCGAATTTTTTTCTTCTTCAGAACTTGAAAGTGGAACATGGGATAGAGATAAAGATAAGGATAATGGTCTCACTTATGAATGCAGAACATTATTGTTCAAAGCACTTCACAATCTTATTGAAAGGTTGGTTTTATTAATTCTCATTGCATGTTTTTCATGCTGATGTATATTTTAGAGGAATTTTTTAAAATGTTGAAAACTTTTTTGTGTAACAGGAGCCTGCTGTCAAAGAACTTTGTTAGACTGGGGAGATGGTATGTCTTACCATATGAGCATGGGTGCAATGATACTGGGTAAGCACTGGGTTTAAATTTTGTTTATTTAAATAAAAAGTTATTGTTTGTATTAAGATACAAGTTGTGTTTATCTTGTTGGAACTTTAATAAAATGTGTAATAGATCTATTCTAATCATGGCTATTTTATTCTGTTTCAGTGTGCACCTGAGCTTTTGTTTCCACTACTTTTTGCACGGTGAGAGTCAAGTCTGTGCGAGTATTGAGGTCAAGCTGCGTCCTCCTGTGTGGCGGCTGACAAACCAACACATTGCTTTGGTACAGGATAACCAAGCCAGCATCCAAGGTTAGTTTTTCATTCTTGTTTAGGCTGGTTTTTTTTTTAAAATCTCAAACACATCAAAGAAAAAGATAATTGAGACCTGGTTTCATCTGTTTTATTTATTTACTATCATTACAAACACATGTTTTAGTAAAAGGTTATTATTTTTTTAAATTACCTACCGGCATGAATGGGAGGACAGGTGAGTCCAACTCAGCTCTCATGGGTACCTTACCTTATATCAGGGGAAGTAAAGGCGGCTGGGCATAATGCTGACCACACTATTCCTTCATATGCAGTGGTTACAGGTGAACTCTACTCTTATCTTCATTACTTTTTGAAAGTTAGAGTTAAAAACCACAAATGGAACAGCCCAGGATTTTCTCTGTGGTAATTATGGGTGCAATCACCTTTATTAGTTACCAGACTAGAGGCATTGAAAGACCAACACACTCCCTTTTTGTCCAGTTTATAGAGCAGATCTGCCCAATAAATGAACAAACGAACACAACTTTGTTTGTATTCTCAGTTCGCTACTAATTCTTAATGTCACGTCAACCCTATCCCTAAGATATTGCTATTGACAACCAAGGATTTTGAATTTAGCTGTATAGCTAATGGATATGAAACTTTTATTTAAACTAAATATACTTTTGTAAATGTTGAAGCAGTGAAGGTTTAGTTAATCACCTTCTATTGATCATTCATGTTTTAACATTTAAAATAGTTACATAGTCTAAGTTCATTTAATGATAATTTTAATTAAATTGTTTCATTACTCTTAAACATTCTTGAGAAAGTACTTATTTTTTACGCTAAGTTTGTAGTGTCCGTTTTTTTTTGTAAAGAAAAAAATTTATCAATTTAAAAAAATTAATTACCCATAACTGTTTACATTTTCTAGCACCTTTAATTTGTTTGTCATTTATAAAAAGGAATTCTATTTTCTAAACCCCATGAAAAATGTTAGATAATGATTTGTATATCTAGTATTGTGTTTTAAAACAGTGAGAGAATGCATTACATTTTAGCCATTTACCCCCAATTGTTGAGATACTACTTCTTGTTTTCTGGGTACTTTAGCTTTTATTTTATCTCATTCTTTTGAAAATAATATTATTGTGGCATGTGTATTTACCTTTGTCAACAATTTTCAAAGTTTGAATCGTCTAGTAGCAGTTACTCTTGCTTAGAGGTATTCAATACAACAAAACAGTAGAAATAAGCTAGTGTTCATATTTTGTCTTCTATTTGGTAGCCTTTTGTAAAGATCACTGGTCTTATTTTAAGATAAACAGGGGTATGCTGTGTCTACCTCCACTGAAATCAGTTTCTTTCAAGTATTTCAGAAATACTGATTAAAATTCAACACACACACACCCATCCCATTTCAAATATAAATTCAAATATTTTGGGGGCAGTATTTCTTTCTTGGAGAGGGATTGTGGTACACAGAGTGTCCCCTGAGCATAGTAAATGAATACTTTATATATAACCATTCTTAAGACTTGGTTTAACCCCCTCACTTCATACAGGAAGTTTTAAATGCCCCTTCCTTGTATATGTTTTGCTATTTGCCTTGATTAACACTTAATTTGATCCCCTTCAACGTATTGTCATTATTTCTCCAATGCCCAAGTCATTTTAAATTTCATGCTCTTAGTAAACTAAAAAAATAAATTGAATATAACCTGTGTTATTTCTGTAATGACATAAGTGAAACTCATTTTTTAAAAACCTGTGTTATAATTGCTGTTTTATTTAAGGTTTAATGCCATTATATAGGAGATGTGTGAATTATGCACTTGAACTACTACAAAAACCCTAAAAATTACTTATGTTGTTGTGAAATGAGAGTGTATATCCTATTGCTCATGTTTCAATTTATAGCAGGCTAAGATAAGTTAATTTAGTTTTTAAAAAAATCTTTTCTTGCATGCAGCTCTGTGTGTTCACCTATTCAAAACTAGCTCTTTGTAAAATAAAAAATACATTCACTGTACAAATTTTAAAGTATAATCTTTTATTTTTAAACACTTACCAAATGTATAATTAAAGCATTGGGATTTAAATGTATTTCTTTAGAAGTTTATTGGGGCATAGTTTTTAAGCTAGAAATACAACATAAACCTATGTTTGAAACACGAGTAAATTTATAAAGTGTCTGACTAGTGCAAGTCCTGTGTGCCTTCTAATCATACAAAACTCCAAGTGACACAAACGCTTTTCAACCTTAACAGCGTTCGTTCTTAACTCCCACATACACACACAGTGTATGCTCTAAAGATGTTTTTACTTGAGCGGGCTGTTTTTTTTTTGTCTTTTCTCATTTTGTAAACATAATGGCCTGTAATGGTTTGCGGTGGTGATAGTTGAGCCCATCAGCAGTTACAGATTGTGTTTTGGCCGACCCGGCTTGGGAAAGAAGGTTCAGGAAGTCCCATTTTCTTATTGATTGGGTTTTATTCACTCACTCCGTGTCTTCTAGTTAGCCAGGCCCGCACTAATAGAATTGATAGCTGGCTAAATCCCCGACAGACACTCTCTCTCTCTGGTTTTCAGGGGCTCTCGTTTCGTTTATTGCGTCTCTTAATCTTTATCAGGGCTAGCACTGGCTATTTTTATCATCACGTCTTTACTATATTTTTTTATTTATTTTTAAAATTTATCGTTTCCCGTCCCGAGTGGCATTCTATACTGAAATGTCTGGTAACGGTAGTTATGCGCCCCTTGTACTGAATTTACCAGACACGCTAACACCTTGAGCCCGACAAAAGAAACAAGCGGCATCCGACACCGGTAACCTACACAACACACAGTTACTTTCACACACTTCCATTCATGCCTGACACTAAAGCAACACCTGTCCAGCGTGTAACTGTGCTAGGTTTGAGCACTCCCTGTCTCGGCCAGTAGCTTGCTCTATTTATACGCTCGCTTTATTACATTCTCATCACTGAGTTGTTGTTTTTTTTTTAATTTTCATTCAATAATCCTCTTTGATGTACGCTCTTTTGAAAAAAAATATATAAATGAGTGTGAAGATACGTTTTTGTGTTAATATACTTATAAGTGGTGAAATGTATTTATCACCGTGTCAGGTTGTTTACGCCTGTTGTCCAAACCTTATCAACATGCTGTAACAACTGCTTGATAAGATTTAGATATTGTTATTCCGCCTCGTAGCGGAATGGGTCTATCTCGGCTTTATTACAGTTCATCTAGCAAATGTTCTCCTATTCTGGATTCATTCCTATGCGCTGTAACCTAGCTGGGGTGTTTTATTTTTTTTTTTTTGGTTCGGGCGCGACACTTTAACCACACAATAAATGGGCCGGGACAACAGGCTTTGAAAGCTGTAAGTGAGCCGATACACGGCACCATTGCTTTTACGGAGGTGGCCATATTGATTTTTGTGTCAACCGCCGGCCCGGGCAATGGGTAGAGAGATGGACGGTGAGAAAGATGTGTGCGGAGGAAGAGAGCATTGTTGTAGGGACAGAGATAATGAGGATCGAGGTTTGGGGGGGATGGGGTGCCACACTGTCTGAAGGGTTAAACTAGGCCATATAACACCATCTCGGCTACATTCCCCCCCCCCCCCCCCCCCCCCCCCCGACATACTGTAAGATAACTGCTGCTACTGGCATCGCACCCCTGAAGTACAAATGGCGTTTTTTGTTATCATAATATACTTATAACCCCATGGCCCTGTTCTATTTAGCAGCGAGTTTGGGTTTTTTTCTTAACCCGTCAGTGAAACTGATGTGATAAGCGTCTGTTTAATATGCCCCAACACAATAGACTTGTGTAAACACTGTTTGAAGTAAGTTGTATCCAACGAGATCCTTTGTCCAATAAACTTGATAGAGCGATGAATGAAAAAAACATCAAGGCTGTAATTCTAGATGGATGAAAATTATGCTATGATAATTTCTTGCACGTACGGTTCTTTTATTGTTTTATAAATCTTTGAAAAGTATTACAATTATTTATAGACATGTGAAGATATTTTTTGTCTGTTTCTATAAAGTGTGGGGGTGGTACACGTCACCGCCCTAGCCCGAGGATGTGTAATGCACCCCCTATTAAATATTTTATCTATTTATTTTTGACCTTGCGAGAATTTGTAGTTGGCGAGTCGCCTCTCTAATCGCACCGCTGCTGCAGGCGTTTCTCTCTCTGTGTTATTGGTTTTAATATACACCAGCAGATGTTCAATAAATAAGTGCTGCGTTTACGCTTAAATAAAAGTAGCGTATGTTGCGTTCTTCATCAACCCTTTAAACGCATACAGCACAATGTGCTTTGTTTCAAGATTACACTTAATTTTTTTTTAACGAGTCCTAGTCAAATTAGCAGTGAGGCTGTTTAATAGACATTTGTAACATATTAAGTCCTGTTAAAAAAAATTAACTATTGCGAGGACGAGTCGCATTTTCAAAATCATATTTTAGTTTTTTATACTCTAATGGATATAAATGTTTATGAAATGTATATTGGATATAAATGTGTATATAAAAAAACTATGAGTAAGCGGCTAACGAAACATGCCTCTACTGTCATCTCGTTGTAGGCCGTTTCGAGCTTTGGTTGCTAACATTTAACCCACACGGTATTTGTGTGTACAGTCCAGGCCGGTGGAATAGTTCCAAGATACAGCAGGTGTTTTCCATAGCATCCCCCCACCTTCCGCACATATTCCCAAGTTTTAATTAGCTTTGAGGAATTTTTTTTTCTCCCTTTCCCTTCTGGCGTGTCTACTTTGAATACGGTGCATGTATATTGTAATTCTGCTGAAATGAAAGCAATTTGAATCGATCCAACAAGAAACTGTCGTGCTTGCCATGTAAATAATCATCTGTTTGTCCCTTACAGTTGCTGGAGCTACTAGGATCGATTGGGCTGTCATTTATTTCTCAACACAACGATCCCAACATTAGAATGATGTAGCTTCCTGATTTCCTTTTTGTTTTGGTGTTTCTAAAAACCACCCCCCCCCTCTCGTTTTCTCATTGCCAGAT